TCAGCGTCATGTAGTTAACTAATTACAGTTAAGGATTTAACTACAGTGATTAACGCTAACTACAGTTAGAGTTAATTACGTTTTTATACAACCGGCCCCTGATTGGTTAATCGAATAGATAAAAACGCATCTGATTGGTTAATCGAATAAATAAATGCATCTGATTGGTTAATCGAATAGATAAATAAACGCATCTGATTGGTTAATCGAATAAATAAACGCATCTGATTGGTTAATCGAATGAATAAACGCATCTGATTGGTTAATCGAATAAATAAACGCATCTGATTGGTTAATCGAATAAATAAACGCATCTGATTGGTTAATCGGAAATATCAAATTCACTCGGATTGTTTAATTGGAAATATCAAATTCATCTGATTGGTTAATGGTCTCTTAATGGTAGCGGTAATGGACGTCAAATCTAAATCTCACTAAAGGACCATTTCCAATCAAGAAAAATTTCCACGGACAGAAAATTTTCCGAAAATATCATTGTTAAAGTTGAAAATTTTCAAAATTTTTTTCCAACTGAAAATTTGTGTCGGCCAATCACATTCTACAAACTTTTCTTTCCGCGGAAAATTTTCTTGAGCAGAAATGTTCCTTTATGCCAAAACATAACGCTTTACCTGTCTAAAGAAATTACTGAACTCGTCATCATTATGTGCCTTTCTTATTCCCTTGCCTCCCCCTCCTTCTGAGGCTTTGATCATGACAGGGTAGCCAATGCCTTGTGCAATCTTTACTCCAGCGCTTGCATCGTTAATACAACATTTCTGATACATTTCCTCGCTCACAAGTTCACCAGTCTCTACGTCCAACGCATGCGCACTCACGTCAATAGTCACGCCAGATCCGCTCCATTTCAAAGTGGGAATATTCAGAGATTGCGCAACAATGGATGACGCAATTTTGTCTCCTAGCGCCCACATCGCTCCAGCAGGAGGACCTGGCGATAGACAAGAAACATTTGAACTGTTGATGTCATAGTGGTGCGTCTATTTTCATCTCTGTCACTGAACTTCCATTTCGGCAAAACACATTTGTCTGATTGTAATTTCACCTCAGTCTCATGTGAGAAGAGTGCCTCCAGTTTGACTATACCAAACACAATAGGTTTCATCCTGTAATAACACTGGATCAATAAGAGATGATCCTTACTGGACCTCTAGGAAGAACAGTTTAGAACTAATAGAGTATCCAGTATAAATGAAGTTAGTTTAGTTTAGGTTTCCTTCTGTAGTAACACTGGAACAATAAGAGATGATCCTTACTGAACCTCTAGGAAGAACAGTTTAGAACTAATAGAGCTATCCAGTATAAATGAAGTTAGTTTAGTTGAGATTTCCTCCTGTAGTAACACTGGATCAATAAGAGATGATCCTTACTAGACCTCTAGGAAGAACAGTTTAGAACTGATATAGCTATCCAGTATAAATAGTTTGATCAGATTCTTACCCATGAACATAATGTTATTCTTCTTAAGTAGATCAGGAAGTAAAGGATTTTCTGATGCGTGCCCCCATCCTGCCCACACAGCCTGGAAACAAATAGATAGAATATAGATAATTCCCATTACAGACTAATTCTAAAACTAGACAAGGAGATGTAAATAAATCACCACAGCTAGAAAGAGCATACTAAAATGAGTAAAATTGCAAAGTTTGGTTGCGAAATGTTGTAAAATGCGGAAAATATAGCCTTGCAAAGTTCGTAAACTTTGTATACTTTTGTATTGCGCGCGAAAATTGCTACCACATTTGGGCCGAAAATTATATGGTAGCAATTTCCGCACGCAATACAAAAGAATACAAAATTTGCAAACTTTGCATGCCTATATCTTCCGCATTTTACAACATTTTGCAACCAAACTTTGCAATTTTACTCATTTTAGTATGCTCTTTCTAGCTGTGGTGATTTATTTGCATCTCCTTGCCTAGTTTTAAAATTAGTCTATTGAGAATTGTGCAGTAACATAGTAATCATGTACACTAATAACTAGACATTGTCAAAAGCAAGCACAAGACAGAAAATACTGCGCTTGTATCAGTTTGTGGTAATCTTCAACACATATGACAAAACAAATCTCCTTGCCTAGTTTTAAAATTAGTCTATAATGGGAATTGTCTATTGTATCAACATTTCTCTGATTGACCAGCCCGTCGCTAGCACTAGCAATAAATATACCTGGACAGGGATTCGCTTTGCAATATCCAAAATAACATCAACATTAGCATAATTATTATTATTTGTTCCCCCTGGAGCATGGACGTAATGATCGGCCAACTTGATGTACTCCGCGTTTGCCTAAATATGAAAAAATTATCTTGTGTTATGTACTCTCTAATTCCTCCTATGCTTTTAAAGTAACTTTATTGACACTGGATAGCTCTATCTAAATTGATATTGATCCAGTGTTACTACAGGAGGAAACCTAAACTAAACTAACTTTATTTATACTGAATAGCTCTATCAGTTCTAAACTGTTCTTCCTAGAGGTCCAGTAAGGATCATCACTTATTGATTCAGTGTTACCACAGGAGGAAACCTAAACTAAACTAACTTTATTTATACTGGATAGCTCTATCAGTTCTAAACTGTTCTCCCTAGGGGTCCAGTAAGGATCATCTCTTATTGATCCAGTGTTACCACAGGAGGAAACCTAAACTAAACTAACTTTATTTATACTGGATAGCTCTATCAGTTCTAAACTGTTCTTCCTAGAGGTCCAGTAAGGATCATCTCTTATTGATCCAGCTAAACTGTTCTTCCTAGAGGTCCAGTAAGGATCATCTCTTATTGATCCAGTGTTACTATAGGAGGAAACCTAAACTAAACTAACTTTATTTATACTGTATAGCTCTATCTGTTCTAAACTGTTCTTCCTAGAGGTCCAGTACGAGTCCTCTCTTATTGATCCAACATAAACCATCCAACATATTGATCTAACATAAAATCGATATAATAGATTTGTACAGGAGAAAACAAGTTTTCCACTGGGCGAAATTTTTCGACCGAATCGAAATTTCTATTGTTCAAATTCAAAAGATTTATGTTTAGTTCCATCTGAGTGCTTGTAAGACAAAAGAAAATTTCGATTCGGTCGAAAAATTCCGTCTAGTGGAAACCGCGTTTAATACCTTAAGGTCTTCTGGCGTAACCATAGCGACGAAACGAATGGCGTGTTCGTTGCCAAAAAGGTCATAGCACCATCTCCGTATAGAGCGCATGCATTTGACAGCAGCGATACCATTGTTGGCTATGAGGACCTGAAATTGAAATATTTGAATATAGTTTGAGACTATGGCAATTGATACACCAGGCGGAAATCTTAGTTTAAAGATAAAGAGCAGAGCCCAGCAAATAACTTTAAAACCAAACATAATAAAAGTAAAAAATTTATTAGCTAACGTTTCGTTGTTTACAATACAATATCTTCAGAGCAATCTAAATTAACTTACGGGGTATGGTATACTATATATTTCAAAAACTCATTAATAATTCATGAAGCAATTATCCAATCTTGAGCAATTATACCAGCTAAAGAACACTTTAACAAAACTCGCAGGTCGTGTTTTATTAGGTCTATAGCCACTCGCGCTGCGCGCTCGTGGCTTTAAACCTAAGGGACGGACCATTAGAAAAGTGATGGGGAGGGTGGGGAAAAAACAGAAAAAAAATCCATGCAAACAAAAAAGGTTTGAAAAAAAATACATGCAAACAGACTTGTTTAAAAAAAAATTACAAACAGAACAACAATAGAACTTTAATTTTAAATGTACATCACACAAAATTGAACTAAATCTTTGGAATATTTCAGAATATAAATATATCAAAATATATAATATATTAATATGCAATTTCTTTCAATATTAACAGTAACTCTTATGTAGTTTTATTATATACTATCAAAATATTTTCTATTGTATTTAATAATTAATTCTCATTCACACTGCCACTGTCCTCAGTGGCGTAACTACTATGGGCTCGGACTGGAAGAATCAGGGGGCCCCCATCCCCAATGGGCCCGCAAATGGGGGGCCCCAGGCTCAGGCTATAGCCGCAAAAACATTGGCCAAGGGCCTCTGATATGTTACAATGGCGTTTTCTGACCATCAGAATTCTGTAAAATCTCTCCCCAAAGTCCGGGAAATGGTATTTCAGAGAATTTAGATTCAAAAATTTTCCTGGTGAGCATGCTCTGGACCCCTAGAAAACTTGTCCATATATGGCGCTTAAAGATATAATTTTGCAGTGTGTATTAAAGGGATATTTTTTTGTCAAGAGAACAGTTTCGTTAACATTTGTATAGTTGTATTGGAAAAAAAATTGCATGCGAGAAGACATATTTAAAAAAAACATGCATACACAGCTGACAAACCTGGAAAAAAAATGCAAACAAAAAATATTTACCCCCATCACTTTTCTAATGGTCCGTCCCTAATAAAACACTCCTGCTCGTTTTTTAAATAGTACTTACAAAATAATGGTTTAATATTACAAAAACGGTTACATAGTTTGAAAGAACAAATGAATAGAAAGAAAGGAAAACAACTTATCAATAACTAGTTAATAAGTAAAGATTAATGTTAAGTGCATGGTTAGTATAATTAAGGTTAATATTACATAACTAAAATAACTCAAGAGGGGTAGATCTAATATTAGCATTAAGGACAGGGTTAAGATGAATCATGGTGGTTGTGGTGATGATAGTAATGATTACGGTTTTGATGGTGATAATGATGATGGTATAATGATGATGGTATAATGATAATGGTATTTAACTACCTTCTCTATGACTGTGTCTCCTCCAAAGCGTTTTACAAACTCTGCAGGTGACGCGACCTTACAACACAAAAAAAAACAAATTACAAAAACTGATCGTAATTGATAATTTGTACCAAGCACGGTTAACCACGCAATGGCACGAAAATCAAATGAAATCCTGTGGCAAGGTAATACGACCACCACTACATTTTGAGCTGTTAGATACTTTTAATCAAAATAGAAGATTACATGAACAGATTATAAGGGTGCGGCGTTTAAACATACCCTCACCCCACCCCCAGACAACCCCCCCCCCCCCCCCCCAATCTGTTTCAACATCTTTCCTGAATTGAAAAGTTCTGTCTTTGTAACCTTCCAGAACTGTATATTCAATCAGTAACACAAACATTTACAATACACATATGATAGAAAATATTCTTGCATCAGTTTGCCCTATCTGAGACTTGCTACGTTAGAAGACGCTTAAACAATAGGGCGCATCTTTTTGTGTATGAAAGCAAATAAAACACTATTATTGAGAAGTCGTCAAGTATTAATAAAATGATAAAACAAAGAAACAAGCTTTCGTTAGTAGGTGATGCAACTGCCTGAAAAATATAAGATGAATTTCGACGTTTCGTTTGCTTTATATTTTTCAAAACATTTTTCGACGTTTCGTCTCCTTTGTTTGTCTGTCACAGTAGTAACTGCAGACGAAGGACCTTTGCTTGTAATTCTCCTTATATTTTTCAGGTAGTTGCCGATCTATCAACGAAAACTTGTTCATTTGATTTGGACTACCTACACTAGCAAAGACAGTTCAACATATCAGTGGTTCAACATTATAAAACAAACTGAAAGCTTACCATAATCTGGCGCACTGTGACAGCACCGCAAAATGAGCTGTGGTGTCAATAAAACCCAAGCACTATAAATTATGTAGCCTGCATGCCTTGATATATAATGAGACGTGAGTCGTGACCAACTATTTAAATATCCTTAATTTCAAGTTCTTTAAGTACTATTTAAAACACGAGCCGGAGTGCTTTATCAGATATAAAACACTAGAGCGCAGCTCGGCACGGACTGTGAGTGTTTTAAATGGCTTAAAAAACGACCCATCTGATGAGTTCATTGGCGAAGTAATTTTAAGAATAAAAGTTGTCTAAGCCGAGAAAATCAAAGCTAAAGATTATGTAAATAAACGTAATTGTTTATCACATGTAAACTCCACCGACACGGTATTAATGAGTTTTTAATAATATTTGAATAGTTTGTCACGTTTTCGGTCACGTTGTTTGCCGAATTCAAAGTTAATCTACATAATAGCACAGAAAAAGGCACACAGAAGGCCGACTTCTTGGTTTTTCCTATCATTTTCCTATGATTTTGCCGTAACCCGTAATTCGTCATCAAAGCTGACGCCATGGTCCTAGCCAATGCGCGTTTGAGAGGCATTCACTCCCCTGATAATATTCAAAATGGCGGACGTCCAAGGGGGGGGATGCCTCTCAAACGAGCACTGGCTAGGACCATGACGTCAGCATTTTGATGACGAATCATGGCGTGGCAGCGGTTACTCGAGTCGACCTTCTGTTGTGTGATAATATCCTTGCATTTTCAGCTTTTTAATTACGCTGTTGACATGCGCATATTCAAATATAATTCATGTACTACCCGTGCACGATGCATGATCACCGTTTCACGTGGAAATGGGAAAAGTACATGATTGAGGATAAAAGTTGATCAAAGATGCAATTCTCACTCATGTTTGACCTCGGATAGTCATCGACTCGCATGCATTCCAATTTCTTCATCAACTCTCATGCAACTCTTGTTCTCGTTTGACCTGAACTGTGAGAACAAATCATGCAAACACTCGCTTGCTAACACTCTTCAAACTCCCATCAGCGTTTTAACATGACATTACTGTAGGATTGTATTGTACAAGGGTTTTATAGATGGAAATTTCCAGCAACAAAATCCTTCTACAATGAGTTGTATCGAAATCCTAATATTTACCCATGCACGTTATGATTGTCAATGACCAACCATGCTTAAAGGCGGATTTCCATTCAGTGCAAAATGTTGCGTGATCGACTTTTTGCGATCGTTTTCTTTTGAAATACAAACAATCAGGAGGAACAAATCTCATTAGTTGTATTTGACTGCACACATTTTAAAAGAAAGCGATCACAAAAAATCGATCGTGCGACATTTTGCACTGAATGGAAATCTGCCTTAACTCAGAGACACTCGGAAATCCACAGAATTTGGTCTACCAGGATTCGCAATAGAATTTTGAGAAGGCTTTTTGAAAGAAAAAGGGGGCTATGTGGTACTGAATATACCACTCTCCTGGAATCTGAGGATCGTCCCTCTGAAATTGCATTTCAAGCCATTGTGAAGAGCTGTTTTGGACATTTTGACTTTCCCTTCATATTTCTGTGGTAAGAAGCAAGTATTTGCGGTTATAATTTCGAGAAATAACCAGCAATTGTCTACGCTATAGACGGCGAAAATGGCTGAGTACCGGCTTGTAACCTACAAATTTAAGACGTCCATATCTTAATCTAACCATGTCTGAGCGTTGGTACTTAAAAAATACTGAAATGCTTTAATTGTTGCACACATTATCATTAAAACTGAATTCTTATTAAAATACCTTTACATAACCATTAACACGAGTGTAGTCTTGCACGCTTTCTCGTAAACCAAACATCTCAACTGAGAACAAAGTTTCTAGTGACATGACGCTGCAAATTTCACGGCGTTATAATGCGGGTACGTCCCCAATCTAGCTCAAACTGGCGAAATTTGCTTCTCAATTGTCAGGTCTGTTAAATTTATTAATGTTTTGTCTAAACAGATATCGCTCCTGTCAATTTGTTTAAAAAAAGGTCTAACTATTGTCTAGAATGTCACGCTATTACGTAACCCTTGCGTAATCTAACTATTGAACAGTTTGTGTCAGTGTTGGTGTTACCAAGAATAACAAAGATGTAGAGTGATGGGGATACAATTACATGAAAAATACAAGAACTTCGACATTTTGAGCGATGGCCCTCGTTGGGAAGTTAGTTCCTCATGATCGGTTAGCAAACAAGAGGTAATACACGTTCTTGAAAGCGGGTGGGAAGGGTGGAAGATGGGGTTGGGGGGGGGAGAAGGGAGTTCGGATCACGTTTCACGTGAAGGAACCTTTGTTCGAAACAACGAAGATTTATTTGTATTTTTGAAGCAGTTGAAACCCTCGCAAGTCGTTGTTTTCTGGTGTCACTGCGTACGCTGACACAAAGCGTTGAAGAAAATGAACCATTTCACGAAAATTAAAAACATGTGGTTAACTGTATAAATCTGATTTTTTATCTTGAGTATTTAATGCTAACGGTAGCATATTGTTACGTTTTCAACACAGAAAGCTGGATATTGAGAGACTTTTTTAAAACCAAATTTATGCTAGCAAAAATGAAGAAAATACATAAATGCAGTGGCAATTAATTGTTGCATCTAAAATATTGCTCTTTTCCCCGTTTGCATTTCTCGCTGCTCGCCCAGTCTTTGTTCTTAATAAATTCTCATTTCCCAGACAACAATTACTGCCAATCACGGCTATAAATTTAAATCATGTTTCACCAGACAAAACCCAGTCATCTCACATTTCACGAGAACAGATGTTGGCAATTCACAGCCCACGATAATACCCTTTACTACCCCCTTTGAAATGTAGGCTACGTTTATTTTTGCCAATCATCAGCGGATGAACGTAACTGGTGACATTTCTTTACATTTCTTTCACGAACTGGAGACAAAAGTGGTGATGATTGCGTTGTGTATTATATCTTGTCCAAACAAATATTCACCACAGGATATTTCCCAGGGGCCGGTTGTATCAAAGGCGTTTAACTTAAACGTTGTTTAGCCGCTATGCAGCGTATAAATTTCTTATCCAGCGGATAGTTAAACGGCCGATAAAATTGCGTTGTACGAAGCCCGTTTAGTACCGCGTTTAACTATCCGTAGGATAACCTTTAATTTGACCGGAGAAAACCGGATTTTCTTGAAATTTCCTACCTCTACGTCAGCTGTTGCAGCTAGGCCTTTGTAAACTTTTGAAGCTCTATCTAACTTGTGAATTCCACTAAGCATTTGCAATAAAGTTTGTTGTTGTTTTTATTTGGAGTTTGCTCGTCCATTCGTTGCTGCAAATCTATATCAAACTTTTCATTTTCACATTGTGCTGAGTTTCTCATTCACTTAAATTCACTTACGGATATTTCTTTAAAGATTTTTGGCTTCTTTATGCGAAGAGTCGAAGGCAATAGCAAAAACTATGAGTTGTATTTGGCTTTTGTCAGTTGATTCAGTTTTATATTGTTTGAAATTTGTTCCTCGACCTTGCACTTTTGTTCAAAACAATTTTAAGAACATTTTGTCCCAAGTTTTGATTGGCTGATCAAAGCGATTAACGTGAGCGAACAATTTTTTTCGACTTTCGGCGTCTTGTTGTCTATTTTGTATACTTGTTGGCTTTCCAAAGTCATTGTTTGTTTTACAATAGCTAAAGTTGAGAATCTTACAGCTTGTTTTCAAACTATATAATAGAAGAAAAGAAGAAGAAAAAGCCAGAGTATATATACTTAACATCTAAACATGACACTGGTGAGTGGTGTGCGTAAATACAGCAAAGCCACGGAATTACAAGTGAGCAAGTGACCTCAGTGTACCTCAAGACCAAGCCAGTTAAAAGTGAGTTTTTCAAGTTTATTGGATTTAAAAAGATAACTCCTCTACATGATTGTGCATTTTTATAACTATCCCATGCTTTTTCATCCGAAATAATCATTGTTTTATCTTCAAACTCCGAGTTTATCCGCCGTATAGCGATTTCAACGGTCTCAAGAGACCGTATAAGTTTACACGGTGGATAGGCAAAATTTAACCGGTGGATAGCCCTAAACGGGCTTGATACAACGCGATTTCTCGAGCGTTTAAATTTTATCCGGCGGATAGCGAGTTAAACGGTGGTTAGCGAGTTAAACGCCTTTGATACAACCGGCCCCTGAATTATATTGAAATGCTTGTGTATTTTTAGCTTTAAATTGGTTCATTTTGAATTCCTTCAGACTCTCAAATTACAGGTCATGTGATACAAGCCTTGACCTAGGTTGACCTTTACTAGGATGACTTGGGCACGTTTGGTCAATTTAGGGCTAGCATTTGGGAAGTATGATCATATCACATGAGAAATAAAAGCAACATGTCAAAATTTTATTTTTAAATTGAAATTTCTTTTTCAACTTGATTCCTGTACTTGAATTGAAACTTGAAATTTTGGGTCCTACTTTATTATTCTACTCTATCAAACATCAAACAATTTTACTTGTCAAAAGGAGAGCACTGGCATTTGCTGGCATCTTCACATATAGGAGGGGTTCACGCTCCTAAATATCTGAACTATCCGAAACACCACCACTGCAACTGTTAGTGAGCCATCACACAGCACGTGCATCAGGCCAAAAAAAATATGTGGGTTTCCGGTTTCTTCTTATAAAAACTTAGGTAGGGTAGGTCGGTTTTAACTTTTTTCTTTAAACTTTTCTTTTATTTTCCGAACAAGCGGACGCCATTTTGTTTAGTCAGTGCTTCTACATCCAAAGATAAATTTCCCTAATATTGCCTCAAATTTCAATTTTCCACAAACTTTTTCCTCTAAGTGGAAACACTTACAAGCATGATCAAAAAAAAAAAACGTTTAGGGTCGGGATTTCGAAGTCCAAAGCTAGGTAGGGTTGGGAAACCGGAAACCCACATATTTCTTTTTTTGGCCTCACACAAATCTGTAAACCTCCGACTATAAGCCTTGGGCTTATATTCTTTTGTAAGCAATTTTTGATGGGCTTATATGGGGGGGGGGCTTATATATGGGAGGCTTATATTTATATTTGGAATGAGGTGCGCGTTAGTAAGTACATGTGGTGGGCTTATACACGGGGGGCTTACAGTATATTTGGAGGTTTACGATAGGTGGCATCACACACCATTGTGTGTGTTCTATGGCATGTCATGTCAATTGCTGACGTCATTAGAATTTTCCATTTTAGAAAAACAATGCGCTATATCTCTTTATTTTGTCTTGTGACCTATGTTCAAATTTTGCATGCTGTATTGCACCGCTAAAAACTTTCATTATACAAAAAATAAAAAATTCTGTAATGCCAAAAACATTTTACCAAAGAGTACAACATTTTCCAAAAAATGGCATTACAAAATTTTTTTATATTTTGCTAATTGTTAGTTTTTCTTCCAAGTAAAATAATGCACGAAAAAAAATTGGGGGGTCACCCTGCTTCTTTTCCAATTATACAAGGCGATGGGCCATTTTTTAGTGAATTTCGTACACGTATGTCGTCATTGCAACAAACTATCTGTTACTAAAACTAATATAATCTGAAAGTAGAGATATCAAAATAGATAGAACCCCTATATCTGCTGAATAAATCCTAAAAATGCATAATTTGAACAAATTCAAGTGTTGAACACTTGAATGTTTGTGTATCGAGCCACCTTAATTAGAGACATTGTCAGATTTTTTTGTTTAACCCATCAATTAATTAAGCTGCAGAGCTTCCCCATTGACGAGTAAAATCGTCTGGTGTTTTAGACAAGTAAAAAAAAGTAAGGTGCATTGCGGCTCAATGGGTTAACCCTGTATTCTGTAACTTCACTCTAAATATATTTGAGGACTTCACATTTACGTATTTTAAACAAGAACAGAAATTTTGTTCTCTTTTTAGCTACAAAAGGCATCGTGGTTGTTACAGTGTTTCAGTGTATTGGCATCACCAGCACAATTTAGGTACTTATGGTTCACATCTCTGCATCATGGTAATTTTAGTATTTTTCTGGTTGACCAGACACAAATCACTACAGCTCATTTTAAAACATATACCTAAGTTTTTTGGTGGGTGTACTGTAAACAGCCACAAAATTTAAAATTATATCCCTATTGTACAAATGTACTCTTTTTTGAAAGTAGGTATTAATGACGTGGGTTAGTGCATTTGGCCAGATTGGCATCGCCATATTTAAAATATGGTTACATACTGTAATCATTTGCAGGAGTATTGGTGGATGGCAAACAGGTAGAATTGAGAAATATAAGCTTCAAAATTTATAAAATTGACTACAATATGCTGTCCTGAAGCATAATAAACTCACAAATAAACTGTGTATATTATGGTATCATATTTCGAACTTTACACTCCACAATCCAAAGTTCATATAAATATTCCATCAATGAAAACGCAACACCTATTAAAAACACTACCTAAAACGTCTCTAAACTAACCAAAAATTATAAAACTACTTACATTGGCATCTTTTGAGCCTTTGTCGATCTTCATTTCAATAAATTCGTCTTCTGTATCAGACGCTGAACTTGTCATCTCGAAATCTTGTAATGACGGTGTTAAAATGTCAACTTTGCCAGGTCAAAATTCACAAAAGTTCACTCCAAAATTGCTCTCAAACTTAACCAAGAATGTAGAAAAGTACATAGTCTTGTAAATGCAACATTTCGTTCAACATTTTAATGCCAAAAAGCTGCAAAATAAGATAATTAAATGGTTTAATCTTCCATGATGAACAGCATGCTTCTTTACCGGCGATTGCGTAATGTTGTGTTATTTTCCGGTAGCCGGTACCCTAGTACCGGGGTTATGCACCTGTATGGCCAGTGAACTATATACAGTTATATATAGTTCAGTGGTCATGGCAAACAGACAAGATGGACAAAAAATTACGGATGACGGACAAACAGACAAACCAATAAACGAACAGACAAGTGAACTGACACGTGACATGCTAACAAACGGACAAACCATAGGACAAACAGACAGACAGACAAATAAGGAATTTATGACTCCAGTTTCTTACTCAAGTCAAATAGATCAGTGGTGGATCCCCAGGTTCCATAACAAATCCAGATTCCAGAGTTGAGTCCAAGCACAGAGTTCCTGTTGACAACTGAACTCAGTGCTGAACTAAAATTACATGACCTGAACTCGGTGCTTACCTAACTTGGATTGAAATCTGGATTTATTACTGAACTCAGTACGCGCATTATTAATCTGGACCGTTCAATGACACATGTTAATGACATGTTTATTTTCTTGCAAGTGTTTGCGGTTTGCCTGTTGGGACGCAAAAAATTCATCACAATACAGAAATAATATTTTCCTTAAAGGTTATAACTTATATTATATACAAATATCAAATACAGGAATGTTAATATGCCCCATTTATACACAAAATAATGTCTGATATTTTTCCTCATAGTTCATTTGATGGAGCATTTGTTAGACGGATCACCCGTGAAGACGCGGTCAGAGCTAAAAATAACGGATGGTCAACAACGGTCAAAATAACGGAGGGTAAACAACGGTCAAAATATAGGATGGTCAACAACGGTCAATGACCCGGCCAAACTTTTGAATATGGCCGGTCAAATTTTACTAACCTTGTTCACAGGGGCGTAGGAAGCACCTGGAGTTTGGGGGGGCACCGGCTTGTAGGGGCACATTACTATCGGAACACACAAAAACGGCACCTATTGTTTTAATTTAGTATTTACAGCGACATTAGCTTCTACAAAAGGGGCACTTTTCCTCACAAAAAAGGGCACTTTTCAACACAAAAAGGGCACTTTTTATCACAAAAAAGGGCACTTTTAGTCCTTAAAAAAAGTTTGGGGGGGCACGTGCCCCCCGTGCCCCCCCGCTTCCTACGCCCCTGCTTGTTCACATCGTTACTATCCTGCTCACAACTTTAAATAACTCACATGCCTAGTTACTACCTTTGTTCTAGTTGACAAACACATAGAATAGTACAAAAGTTACTAAGAATTTGAGTTATGTATTAACGGCTTATTGACCGAGCGTGAGGTTTGTACTGTGAAATATCAGACCGAGGTTTTTTAGTATAGACCGAGCGATGATGGAGCGAGGCCCATGCAAAAACAGAGGTCTGATATTTCACAGTACAGACCGAACAAGCGAGGTCAATAATCGGTTTATTAGTATGGCTGAACTGAGTCTGTGAGCATATGCTTTTCGCGCGAATTAAATCGGCTATCGTCAGTTTCACTGGCTAACAATATACGCGGTAGGCATGCATGCTCAATCAAAAACAATTTGGTTGGTTGAAATTTTTATCTGTAAATTTTAATGACACACAATTGGAAAATTAAAAAGCAAGATTTTTTTCTGTTTGCAAAGCAAAAATTTCCCGCCAGATAAACGACATCCGGTACACCGGTCCAGATACGGAAAATACGGACCACGGTCCGGATATAGGTTTTTACAGACCGCTTGTCAACCAATCAGAATAGAGAATTTTGAAAAGCCATATAATAAAAGGAGTTATTCCCTCATGTAGATCATTCTAAAGCTTAGTTACCTTTGTTCTATTCTATGTTTCTGTAAACTAGAACAATAGTAACTAGGCATGTGAGTTATCTAACGTTGTGAGCAGGGTACAAACAAACGGTAGCGAAATTTGTCTATTTGCTTGAGTGCCACGACAACAATAGCTTCAAATAGTCGAGGTGGACAATGTAATCTATTGTAAATATTGCTAGCCAGCAAATCCGGGAAATCAGTGTATTTGTAAAGGTTGGTGTACACAATCAAAGTTTCTGTGATCACAGAAGGCATTTTGCATGGGTAAACTTCTACGTTTTGAAGGATTTGTAAGAAATGTTTGAGGAACTGACTCATGTGTTAACACTGACTCAGTTTCTTCAAACATTTCTTACAAATCCTTCAAAACTTAGAATTTACCCATGCAAAATTCCTACTGTGATCACAGAAACTTTCATACTGTAAAACCAGCCTTAAGGGTTTTCTTGGTATGAAACGACTTCGCCGAGAATACAGGTTTCTTCAAAGATTAAGCGGCGTTGACCAGACAGAAATAGCGGGGGCTAACCCCCCCCCCCTCCCCCAATGATTATTGTTGGTTACCGTTAGTTGACTGGTTTCATATCATGAAACGTTATTTTCAGAGCCCTGATTGCGCACACAAGTTCGTTTGGGGAACAAATGCGCAGATAGTTCGCCTTGACGGTTGATCGATCTGTTAGACTCGTATTGTCTTCCTGTTCTTCCAAACCTCTAGTATAAATCAGACAAATATATAAACACTATCATTACAATCATATATACATCGAAAGCGCAACCATCGCTAAAATAATATACAAATATCCACGCACGTTTGCCACGCTCGAAGTATCCGTTAGACCGGAACAGAGCCCTTGCGGGCATATTTGCTCACAATACTTCCCCTTGCATACGAAATTACATTGCCCCGAATAACACGTTTGCCGACAGAGTGTCACATTTTGTCCACATTCCAAATTACAGTCACCAAGAAAACAGTACTGCTCACAGACGAGAGAATTGCACACCATGTTCCCACAGTTACCAAGACACACCTGAGTACAATTTTGCGCTGTGCATTGCATTTTCGCACAGTTGCCCCCGGAGCAACGTTGGTCGCATATGTTACTTCGACAATCCATATTGCCACACTCTCCTCCAGGACAATTTTGAAGGCAATGTTTCTTTGAGGAACACTTGACATTTTTACATAACCCCCCAAGGCAATTCTGATCACACTTTTCACCGTTGTTTCCAGTGCATTTAAGATCCTGTCCTCCATATACGCATGCTTTACAAGGCGGTTCACACTGACCGTTATGTCTGTAGTCGCATTTTGCGTCCAGATGCGAACCTCGGCGATCTCCGATTTCGTTAAAAGTACAAGTTCCGGAGGGAGAGCATTCGTTGTCGCAGTGTCTCGCAGCGCAGTTAAATTCACAGTGGCCCTTCTTGCAAATCTGTTTGCAGGAATTGACATTTCCACTACACGAAAAAACACATCCAGACCCGGAACATACTTGAACACAATGATCCGCGCTGCAGGTAAGCGAACAATTACTACCGCAATCTTGTCTGCATGTCTTTGAGTGGCACGTGATTGAACGACAAGTCTCACCTCGACACGCTTGTTTGCAGTTCTTATAATGGGAATCCGCCTTGCAGTAGCATCCATTGGAGTCACAAGTTTGGACACAGAGCTGCTTATTGTCCTGGATACTACATTCCGTTTGGATAGCGGAATTTGGTCCCCGGGTTTCACAATTGCCGGTCGGGCAATAAGCCCGGCACGTTTTTCCCTCACACGTGATCTGACAGTTACCACCGGTGCAAACTTGTTCGCAGTACTTCACATGCGGTCCACACCTCATGTTACACCCCCCGGTTCTGCAGTTTTGGAAACAATAGTCGGAGTGGCATACCATATTCTTGCACGCACCCCCCGTGCAATATTGTTCGCAATAGCCTCGACTCCGTGAACATTTCATATGCTTACAATGACCCTGTGTGCATTGTTGAACACATTCTTTAGAGGCGTCACAATGGAATGAACACTTCTTGGAGTTTCCATCGGAAGGGTCGCAAACTTGATTGCAATACTCGACTGCTGAGCCATTATTCTTCTTGCAAGACAGCGAGCAGACCTCTTTGCCATTGGGTTTGGTTTTACCGCAGTGCTGGACACATTCTGGACCGCCAGAATAGAGATTGCAAGTTTTTATCGAGCTGTAGGCCGTCTGCAAGGTCAGCGAGGTGTAAACCAAGAGTAGTAGCCAAACGTTCTTGTTTACTGCAGTCATTTAAAATTCTAGAGAAAAGATGGTCATACATTTTAGTTTCCATTTAACAATTAGTCGCCGAAGGCGAGGTGATTACAAGCCTATACTCACTGAACCGAAGTTTTAGTATAATTTTAGTATTTATTTCTTTCTGCTTCCGAAATTTTCGCAAATCGATTTTGAGGATTTTCAGCCATTTTTTTGGGAAAAGCAATCGTTACTGCTCAGAGCAGTCTGAGTAGTAACTATTGCCTCAGAGTTACTGCTGAGGAAGTCAATCGGAATGCTCAAAGGCCATTTTCCAATACTGAAATTATACTAAAATGAATTATATACAAATTATAAAGAAACTATAAGTTTCACAAAGCACTATCGTGCGGCAGATTGTGGTCAGTTATCAGAACGAGAAAATAATTCTAATTCTTTTCATTATATGTAGTAGTCTTGTATTTGGAGGAAACCAAATTGAAATTAACAGATGTTGACAGTTCAATTTGTTTGCTCCCATAAGTGAAACTGAATTTGACCACAATATGCTGCCTCGTATCCAGGGCGCTTATGTATTCGCTATGGCTCGCGTCGCAGCTGCGTGGGCTATGCGTGGGCTCGCGTGGATAATCTGGCGTGTCAACGCTGATCGAAACCCGGGGAAAATGTAAAAACAAGAAATTTGTTTGTACAGTTGTCATAGTTGGAAGACTATTTTTAACTTGTTTTTTACTTCTAGCAAATACATCTTGCAAAAATTTAATTAAGAACACTGTTGTGTTCATTAACATCGTGGTTAGAACGTCATTAAGAAAATTGAAACATTTCAGAAGGCTAATTAAACATGTCTTGCGACTGACAAGACTTGAATATCAGACATCTTGGACTTCACAAAAAATAAAGTTGTTTTTGTTCAATATAGACTTGCTTGACGGTATTGTAGAAAAGTAGGTAATGGTGTCAAAGCAGAATAGAATGACTACTGCCGAAAGTTGAACAGTTTAGAACTGATACTATATCCAGTGTAAATAAAGTTAGTTTAGTTTAGGTTTCCTCCTGTAGTAACACTGGATCAATAAGAGATGATCCTTACTGGACCCCTAAGGAAAACAGTTTAGAACTGATATAGAGCTATCCAGTATAAATAAAGTTAATTTAGTTTAGGTTTCCTCTTGTAGTAACACTGGATCAATAAGAGATGATCCTTATTGGACCTCTAGGAAAAATAGTTTAGAACTGATAGAGTTATCCAATATAAGTTAGTTTAGTTAGGTAAAGTCTCCTTCATTTTAAGTCACTCCGAAGCCATATGTAAGTTTAATTTTTCGACCACAGCGTGCTAAACAATTGGACACGGTAAGCGATACACATGCAAAGCATTGTCCCTAATATTGTGCTGTGTTTAACTTCATCATTAACTTTGACACAGCGAGATTAAAACTCGGTCAAGCTGGGTTTGAAATATATGCAAGCAATTGTTTTGAAACAACTAATATCTCCTACAGGGATTCATGCTGTTCGGGGTTTACAAATTTCTTTGAGAAATGCTAATTTAACAGGAATATTTTAAATAGAAGAAATTATCTGAAAAATCTTAAAAATGTTTGGCATGAATGGGAAGGTGTAAGCAGTAAAATAGAAAAATAGAAAAGTATCTAAAAAGGTAGGTTGGAAGACATATAAATCTAGTAGGTAGGTGGGTGGGGGGATGAGTAGTTGGGTGACTGGGTAGGTAGGTAGGTGGGTGACTGGGTCGGTGGGTAGATAGGTAGGTGGATGGGAAGTTGGGTGACAGGGTGAATAGCTAGGTTGGTAGGTGGGTGACTGGGTAGATGGGTTGGTAGATTGGTAGTTGGTGAGAGGGTAGATAACTAGGTTGATAGGTGGGTGACTCGGTACGTGAGTAGATAGATAGGTAGGTAGGTAGGTATATGTAGTAGGTAGGTGTAGAGTTAATGAGTTCTTTGAAAGTTTACAGAGCGAAGAAACAATATATCTCTTGGCTAGTGAAAAACCCCACGTATATTTATTATAGCAAAGCTTTCGATCCGTAAGCCTGGATTTTCATCATATACTATTAGCACTAATGAAGATCTGGGATTAAAAACTTACAGATCCAAGCTCTGCATGCAATAATGAACACACCTAGTGTCTCCACGAGCCAAGAGACAACACGTATATAGGTAGACAAATAGTAAGGGAAAAAGATAGGGAAACAAGACACACAGTTATATATACATGCATACAGTATTTATATGTAAGGATATTTCAAAGCCAATACAAATACATTAAAGTGAATACTTCGAAAAGCAGAAGGCAAAAAATATGGTAAATGAAGAATGACTGAGTAAATGAAAGAAGATTTGAAAACAAAATAGCGAAAACAAACAAATTTTTGAAAGAACCTATATCTTATATTAGAAGCGGTAAATGATGGTCTTATATCTTGCTTATACAGCTATCTTATACAGTTTATAAGAAATCTCACCATCTAACCCAAGAAGAAACCTGCAAACGTTTAGCCAAATCAATTCCTCAAACTTCAAAGAACAGAGAAGCTCACTTGGCAACCACCAGAGTACACTAAATGCTTTCTAGTAACTCACTCTAGCTATATTCAGCTGCGTCATAAGGCATTAGAGCCTGGTGGTGCCGCATCGTCTCACAGTGTATTACAAGTTATTGGATTGATTACGTGTTACGATATTAGAGACGCCAAGTGATATTATTAGAAATTAAACTTCAAAATTAAAAAGAAAAATAGTAATATACACTATATTGAAAGATAAATAAAATGTACTCCTAAAATGCCCAGCCTTTTCTATTACAACCAAATCTGACAACATGGAAATATACAGGAGGAAACTTATAAACTAAACTTAAACTTTATTTATACTGGATAGATCCAGTGTTACTACAGGAAGAAACTTTAATTAAACTAACTTTAGTTCTCAATGGTCCAGTTGCATAATCCATACTCCACCGCTATGGTTTTAGGGAATGCTAGAAACCAGACTATAGAGGTATCCAGCCAGCTAAAGTGGGTGTCGTTTATTACTAAAATTCCAGAAAAATTTGAGTCTGTATAAACTATATTAATCCCTTTTAATGAACACTCACTCCATTGCCTGGGGGAATTTCCAACGACCGTTAATAATTTAACATTTAATATTAAATGCAGAAAAACGCCTTTAGTGCTAAGAGGATTTCCTCACCGGCGGCTCAAGATCAATTGACGCTGTTTGATAAATTTAATGAGTTTTCGTTTTAATTGTAAAACAAGCGCTCGAAGCTTGAAGCGTATTAAAAAAACTCCGTCCCCCTCTCACGTTAGAATAACACACGACTCATAGCAATACTGAATCAGCAAGGGAATGCACCCCTAAGGAGAACAGTTTAGAACTGGTAGAGCTTTCCAGTATAAATAAAGTTAGTTTAGTTTAGGTCTGTAGTAGCACTGAATCAATAAGAGACAATCCTTACTGAATCTCTAGGAAGAACAGTTTAGAACTGGTAGAGCTGTCCAATATAAATAAAGTTAGACTAGTTTAGGTTTTCCCTTAAACGAAGCTACGAAATTCAGCCTATTGACTGCGATGTAGTCTTTCTTCAACAAACCATAAACCATTGAACTGAACCTCTAGAGAGAGCAGTTTAGGACTCATAAAAGAGCTATCTAGTATATATAACGTCTGACTGTTTTCAATAAGCGTCAAGAGACTTAAGATTTATATAGTGCTTCTTAGCTGAGAAAAATGATGACGCAATGAATGATGGGATTTTATATCATTGATAAAATCAGCAAGCGGAATTTCATATGTTTATACAAACATATATATAAACCCATAACTACTCAAAAACCGGGAATTATTAGTTCCATCTGTCAAAGCAGTGCTATCTAAATATTACCCTCGTACCCAGGGTCTATCATATTCTGCATGTGAATATTTTCTAAAACTACCAAAAACCTCGTGCTATAGGCCTCGGTGATGAACTAAATCATGACTTCGCTACAAACGTCAGTTTAATTTTAATTATACACAAAAGTAAAATGAAACCTCTTATTGTGGGATTTAATTTCAGCTATTCAGTTTTAGATGCAATATCGAATGTAATGTTTTGTTTATTTAAGCTTCGGACCATATGATGCGATGAATGCAGTTATATAGAGTTACAGTGATATTACTTTCTAGGGTTAGGACGTGAATGACGCGGCGTTTCCTCAATGCTTTTACAAACTTTTAATTATTTATTTTCTATGGGGGAAAACTTCAAAGGAGGCATACTAATAAGCAAAACAAAACGCGGTATTTGACGGCAAACGAAAGCGCATAATGTCGCCAATTTTCGCTTCGTTTATTAATATTAAGGCGATTTATATATAAACAGCGACGCAAATGAAATTTTGTTTTCGTACTTTTGGCGTCAATGGAAAGTGTTCATTTATCGTAACAAAGCTAAAGTGTTTTTGGCAAAACAAAAAGCTTGAATATTGAGTTTGAATCTTGCTTATCCTCAAAGCATCTTATGTATTAAAATCATATATACAAATACAATCACAAAAATATATTTAAAACCGAGAGGATATGTTTATATTACAGCAAGAGATTGATGACACATTTCAACACGACTACATATACGAACGCTACATTCAGACAAAAGATCTCAAATTCATATAATTGAAAGTAACAAACGCACTGAGGTACAATGCGCCATTACGCTCTAGAATTGACAGCAACATAACAGATATTTACGTATGAATAAGATATACGTTCTGTTTTAAAATTGGGTATAACGGTTAGAAATATACTGAGACTAAGTAAACAACATTCAAATTTTCAACACACATTTACAGACGACATTCTTGTCAAAATAGTGCCACAAATTTGCAAACGCTGAAATCATACTCGGATCTTGAGACGTGCGTATTTCTTTCGGCATGTCCAAAATGATAAAGGTTCTGACACATTTTCACATACTTAACGTTTTCAGAGCGGATTGGCTTAAGTCTTAATCGAATTCACACACTTGACTCAAGTTGATATTGATATAATACAATAATATTTAACCCCTTCATATGAAAGATGAAAGTCTAAAGATGGCTTGCGTGTCTTAGTCTAAGAACCAAGATTTAGAAGATAGCTAGTCAATAAATGATCTCGAAATAACTGTGCATTTATAAGCACAGTAAATACATGTAGAACATACACTGTAGATTGTACTGCATATGTAGTACATACATACACAATTATGATGCACAGTCCCTAAAGTCAAGAGGAAAGTAAGCATAATCTAGTTATAAGATGATCCGTGAAAGGGAATCGTCCAAGCCCAAGGACACTTAAATGAAGCAGACTTTTAAGTCCTACAATGGCCACATATCTGTTTGTACGACCTTGTATTTAACACATTGTTATCGTGGGGTCATTTGACTGAAGCTCTGAACATCAGTAACATTGACAAGTCATAATCTATACGGACATGCATACAGCTTAGACACTTGTTGAGATTGGAAAAGGATCTTAAAAGATACGTACAATACTGATACAAACATGTTGCAATTCACACAGAATATAACTCTATTTATAAATATAACACATCCTGCGGGTCATATTGCCGAAACGAGGCACTCAACATCAATAACATCAAAGCAAGTGTATATATAATTTGGTTGAGATGATGCCCGTGTCGGAATCGCACAAGGACACTGAGTCTTCGAAGAGTGAGTAAGATGGTCAAGTTATTATACAAGTCTACTTTCACAATACCTGTCTATTCATTACAACATGATTGAGACTCTTTTGAACACACGAAATATTGAACGTGAATAACATGTGTTTGAGTGTTATTGTTTCTTTGCCTTACAAACTTCAAACAATCACTTCGCTTTAATCACAGCTTGTGAGAGAAAGCACTCAAGCCCTCGACACAACAGGCTTCTTGAAATAACGTACAAAATCCCATCAAACCAAATCTCAACTCAAGAATACCCATAGGGATTGATTTTGCCTCAATGGAGTTGGGTTACACGACGGAAACAGCGAATTGAATTCACAGATGTGCTGTCCTATCATGCACTTATATTTCGCTATTTAAACATGTTGACAAATTGCTTTGCATTGGCTTATATCCTAGCACTATACGCCTGAGATTATTACACTACAATTCGCATGGCTAAAACATCATTTCCAGCGTTTTAAAGTGTAAGACAGAGGCTATATGTTGTTAGCGTGACTATTTATACCTCCAGGGGATAGGGACAACATTCCTGTGTATAATTACATCTAGGACCCGATACAAATCGATTAACCCGTTGCTTCGTAAAGGTTAAAGCTACTTGACATTTCCTTGAGAGTGAAATGACCTAAACTCACTCGCGCTTATCAGAAATACAACTCTCTTATCGTTTCAATCACAATATACTACAAACATAACCACTCATTTTGAGCTATTATTCAAATTATTTCAAATTATTATTGCTTGGAATTTAGAAAAGTAATGTTAAAGTTACCTGATTGTTTCAACAACTAAACGATGTTTCAGAGGCCGTGTATTAGGTATTATCCCCCATTATAAGTAGGTATACAATATTCTTGCTAATATACGACGACTTTGCGGTGTTAGGTAGTCTCATTGCCCCTTGCTTCGGCTTACGTTTGTGATCGTTAGCGCGAATTAAGCTAGGACAAACAGTTCTCGGCTTTGCCTCATACAAACGCGGTGTGGATATATTAAATATGCAAAATAGCTCAGTGTTTGTGTGTGGTAGAAACGATTTCAATTAATCTCTTTTGTTCACGAAAGCAAGAATTGAAAAGAACTAACAGAACTTGCCTTGAAACATCGCGTTGACAAGAAATCAATGACACGCTTCACTCGCCACCTTTCAACTTAGTTTTGAAACTCTATAAAACTTGGCGTTTTTTAAACAATATATTCAGCTTTTCAGGACAAAAATATCATTATAAATTACAAGCGTGACAGCAGTTTCCCACCGCAAATAATGTGCTTAAAACCGATCGCGATGTGGGAGGAAATTATATTGTAAATATTCTACCTGAGATTCTTCATTCCCTGGTAAAGTACTCCCGCGGAGGAGGCAGGCTAAAGTACCGACTGAGTGACTGGGTTACCTCTAGTTACCTCTACTACAGCTTCACGACGGAAATAGCAAAATATCTGAAAATGCAGACAGCCTTTCAAAGGGCTATAGATGATTAACCACATTTTATAATAATAATATTATACGATACACTTAAATCTAGCGAGAGGGGGAAATTAAATCTTCATTTGAAGGTAAAAGCACCGCTATGTCTGCGACTACGGAATTGAAAGCAATATTATAGAAGGCAATTCTAGCTCTTCAGACAAAACATAATCTTCTGACAACGCTATACACAGCCTTTCAAAGCCAGATATATATTAACCGCACATCATAATAACACAAGATACATTTTGTAATCTGGTGATCACTCGTAAAATTAAATGTATGTTATTAAAAATGACTGACTACGTGTCATGCATGTAAACTGTAGGGCATACAGTCTGAGTACGTCTACAGTCTAGAATTCAATCCATGGATCTGTCATATAAATGATAAATCTATAATGAAATGAATACATATATATGTTTCCAGAAAATTGCAAAGAAAAGCGCCATATAATTTGAAACAAAATGCTTAGTAAAATGACTCATTTGCCATCTGATATGTCTACAGCACGCGCATATAGGCAGCCTATATAATATAAATTTTCAACTAACAATATAATTATAGATATTTTATAATTTTAAGTGATTTTAAAGTTATATATTTTTTAAACGCTTACCGAAATCCAAAAGAGTATTAATAAGTTCATCTTTGTGTGTAGGAGCATTTCAATGACAAACCGAGTTCGTTGACAAGTAGAATTGTGAGATTGGACACATCTGCACTTTATTGAAGTGTTTTTGCAAGTACCAGCCAACAGTCTGGCTAGACATGCCGGCTGTGTCGGCTTTTGAGCAGAAACGCGGAAAATAGCGTCTGTTGAAGACAAGTGCAGCTTGCATGAGCAGGCAGATTGTTTGCTTTTGTTAGTTTAGATGTATAATTTTCATTCATTGGTTGAACATTTTTGGTAGGACAATAGTGCAGTCGTGAAGAACAGTTAGAGTGCAACACTGCGTGTATTTGAACGTTCGAAGTTTAGACTAGTGACAATCTACCACAAAGGACGTGTATTTCAAGACCACTATAGTCTATACCTATACAAGGAGAACCAATAGTTTGAAGTTTAGACTAGTGAGGACCTACCACAAAGGACGTGAATTTCACGACCACGTACTATACTTACAATGACAACCAATAGTTTGAAGTTTAGACTAGTGAGGACCTACCACAAAGGACTGACGTGTATTTCAAGACCACTATACTTACAATAAGAACCAATAGTTTGAAGTTTAAACTAGTGAGAGTCTACCACAAAGGACGTGAATTTCAAGACCACGTACTATACTTACAATGATAACCAATAGTTTGAAGTTTAGACTAGTGAGGACCTACCACAAAGGACGTGAATTTCAAGACCACGTACTATACTTACAATGATAACCAATAGTTTGAAGTTTAGACTAGTGAGAATCTACCGCAAAGGACTGACGTGTATTTCAAGACCATTACCTACACTGAGAACTATAATAGTTTGAAAATTAAAATAGTGAGAATCTACCGCAAAGGACGTGTATTTCAACACCACCATACCTATACTGAGAACCAACAGTTTGAGTGAAGTTTAGACTAGTGAGAATCTTCCACAAAAGACGTGTATATCAAGAGAGGTGGCAACCATTTGAACCATAAGGAGTCAACCATTTGAAGGCAAAGACATAGTGAGAATCGTCTATATACAAAGCCAAAGGGGGAGTGTTTCAAGACTACTCATACCTACACTGAGAAACAATTGCAGTTGGAAGGTTAGGCGAAAGGCAATTTACCACGAAAGACGTCTATTTCAAGAGCGCTACTGTCTACAACCAACTGTTTGAAGTTTAGGTTGGTAATAATTACTAGACTACAAGGCCAAAGGACCGATATTTCACGACACTTACCTACCGCCAGGGATCTGACACTAAAGGCTAGCAAGAACACTACACAAAAACCTTTCAACTATTGGTACTATCGAACGAGATGCCCCCAAAATCTTGATATCTAGCTATAGCAAGACTAAAACAGAAGTGTATTTTAAGCCACTGTGCTAGAGAGATATGCTGCCAGGTCGTTTACGAGCGATACGTCTATATCAATTTCAACTCGGACTACCTTAAAGTGAAATGCTGACACTAACCTGAGTTGAGCGACAATGAGAGGTGATAAACGTACTTGATATCACAACACAGTGTTGACAAGTTATAGCCCACCATATCAGTGTCGATTTTCACACGAACCAAACCAGATCCAACTCAGTGTAATCCACTTTATGAAATCATCAAATGTGTCCCACGTTTGATTAGGCTTATCCCAGTTTTAATTTTGTAATTTTTAAATCTGATTTTCAAGTGTATCGCTAGGGGACGCCGGTTTTAATAAAACCACACAGAGTGTCAGGCTATTGTTAACTCCACTACACTACAATAATATTGTGCGCGAGCCCCCTTATTAATTATCCTGAACTAATTAACTTATTACTTAAATTATTGCGATCGCCGCGCCAACATCTTTCATCTTCACCGACCCTGTTTGAGGGACCGCCTCACGTCGGATTTGCTAGTATGGAATCGGGCAGGCGGGTTTCCGAACGGAATTGATGACGCATTTCCGGTAGTTTGATCATGTAGCCCATATATTGGTAGAATTCAGGATTTTGGCCATCTCCACTCGGTAGAACTGCTGTTGTAGGATGTGTAGATGGGAATCCCCGTTCGATTCCCACCGTGGTCAGGCATATTTTTCAAGCCTGCCCGGTGTGGATATACTCTCAGAGTAACATCACAAGCATCTTATTCACCTGAGTACATTACACCAACACAGCAAATATCATGATTATTAGATCACACTTATATCGAAGGAACTAGACTCAGTTCCGAAATATCACATACTCGAACCGACCTGACCGCGTAGCTCAGTTGGAAGAGCATTGGGCTAGTATTCCAAAGGTCGTAGGTTCGATTCCCACCGTGGTCAGGCATATTTTCAAGCCTGCCCGGTGTGGATATACTCTCAAAGTAACATCACAAGCATCTTATTCACCTGAGTACATTACACCAACACAGCAAATATCATGATTATTAGATCACACTTATATCGAAGGAACTAGACTCAGTTCCGAAATATCACATACTCGAACCGACCTGACCGCGTAGCTCATCGATCAGAAAAAGAAAATCGCACTAGAAGCCAAAGGGAGTGTGTTTCAAGACTATACTATACCTACACTGAGAAACAATTGCAGTTGGAAGGTTAGGCGAAAGGCAATTTACCACGAAAGACGTCTATTTCAAGAGCGCTACTGCCTACAACCAACTGTTTGAAGCTTAGGTTGGTGAGAATTACTAGACTACAAGGCCAATGGACCGATATTTCAAGACAGAAGAAGAAACTCGCACTAGAAATCGCAGCAGAAATTGCAAGTGTAGATGGGCCTTATTAGACCTAACCCGCGCAGGAGCAGTTGTGAAAAATTTTATTTATTTTTTTTATTTTTATTTTAAAAATTTTTCCCCATGTACAATAAATTTATGTGTAGTATATTTACAATAATTGTAGAGTGCGGGCTAGAGACCTACTAGAAATCTTCGTAGAATTTTTATTTAGGTCTCTATAGTTATGCTAGTTTGTATTATATTATGTAATAAATTATTTACAGTCAATCATAATATTAAAGGAATATATATATATTTACAAGAGAGAAAAAAAAGAGAAATTGTTCTTATTATAGAAGTGAATATTTACAAGAGAGAAAAAGAAGAGAAATTGCTCTTATTATAGAAGTGATACCAATGTTGTAGATGCATTTGTGTTCTTATAAGAATTAGACTACAATATACTATTAATTTTGTCATATAGCATGTTTATACATTCTTATACATTGTATAGTAAAAAATGTTGTTTAATTTGCTTTTTGAAAGTGCTGTAGAAATTTATATCTATAAATTTTATTTCTAATGAATTCCATACGTCAACTCCTTTATTTGAGAGAGTGTACCTGTTCTACATAATTTGTTCTTTTATAACATTTGCGAAGTTTTGATGCAATGCAACTATATATAGACCCTCTGGTAGGCATTGAAACTGTGGCCCTGCATTTCCAGCGAAGCGCTCTAACCAAATGAGCTACAGAGTTGGTACAATTGCTTGATGTTTTCTAGAAAACCTTTTAGCTGTAAATTATGTGTATTCGGATGATGTTGTCCAAGTGATGTCCAAATTTTAGGATAATTAAGCTATCTGTCACATCTACAGCTGACAAGTGCTTGTGGCTAGCCATTCTTATCAATTGGACTTTGTTACTTAGCGCAGGTCTCAACAGAATCAAAGGGCCGCAGATTCGGAAGGAGGGCCTATATTCCCTCGAAATCTTTCTATCTTCATGCAAGATGGCTAAAATTCAGAAGCAAAAAACTTCTTGATCACTAGCGTGATGTTATCGACATGCTATAACTCTCTAACGAGTGAATTGACACAATATGGCAGCAAGCTTGTCATAATAAAGCGGTCACAACCTGCGCCTGTAACGAACAGAACGAAAGTTTCTGTCCACAAAAACAAGCCTGCATTAAGTTTTGGTAAAATAGAAAGAGATATAAGAGCAAAACATGTGCGGCCGGTTCCTCCCAACCTGTGAAGAACCAATATAAGTAAAGATAGTGTTTATTTCAAGTCGAAAGAGATAAGCAAAAAGACACGTGCTTGGTTCCTCCCCTCCACGTGCTACCCGAGTACCTGCACTCATTGATGCTCAGACATGGCGGTCGCGTCATCACGCACCTGTCATGGAGAACAACAAGCTTAAACAACAACCTTCAACTGTTTAACTGTATATATAACCGAAAATGACCGGCTCAGAACAAAAAGGCCGACATCGGAAACAACACATCTGACTGAACAAGAAACCTCACTCACTATGGAGCGAACAAATTTCAACCATACACAACAAACTCAGCGACTTACAAAACAGAAAGACCGACATCAAGGACGCATCTGTGATGAAAACAACAAACTTGACTTCGCTACAAACTTCATTGCGAAACAAATTTCAAATAAACAATAAACTTAACTTAAAGACAAAACAGAAAGACCGACATCAAGGACGCATCTGTGATGGAAACCAACAAACTTGACTTCGCTACAAACTTCATTGCGTAAGAAATTTCAAATAAACAATAAACTTAACTAAAAGACAAAACAGAAAGACCGACGAGAACAAACACTTCAACTCTGAGAGCGGACATATGCTGTAGACAGACAAGATAAGAATTCATGTCATCATTTTTACATGTCTGTCAGCTGAAACCTATAGGAAGCGCGAAGTTGTGTCATCCATGGCACTTCTCTTAGCGATCACACACAGAGCCTTGGTTAACCCTAACATGAAGTAGACGTGTTTCACTCTCTAGGTCTTCTATAAACATCCTCGATTCTATTTGCCAAACTAAGAATCATCAAAATTGAAATGACTCTCAGAACTTGTAGAGATCATCATTAACTCTATCGACTTATCCATACAACTCTTGAGATTGGCGGAGAGTTCGCTATCTCAACCTTGGCACTGAAGAATCCATAGTCCACTGCTCTACCATGCAGTTGAGAATTTAGCTATATACAAAGGTTGACAGAATCTTATCTCTTTAATATATATACTATAAGACAACTCAGCAGTCGTTCCTGGCTAGGTCTTAAAATGTATATATTCTCACTTGGATTACAAACCCTAACATCCTAATATTAATTCCACCAAGTGAAGTGCAAGAATCGAAGTCATTCAAGTCCACCAGGAACCTATAAACCACTGGAAAAAAATTTGAAAATCCATAGAAGGTCATAGAATGGAAATTGTATGGACCTTCATTGGAAATAGAATGGATTTTGGTTATCCATAATAATTGTATATTCCCATAGTATGGATATAGTATCGAAATAGTATGGATATACTATATGGATTTAGTGGTGCAATTGCAAATTTCATAGTATATGGATTTCACATTTTTTCCTCAGTGAACCCCAACTTTGATCCCACCTTAGTCCACGCGCGACAAAGGACCGCTCTAACAATCTTTGAGTTGAGATTATAATCTTTCAGGTCCCAGCAAATAGAAATCTAGTCCACTGCTCTACCTGTTTTGCTATCAAGCCTACAGAGATGCCTGGTACGTTTTTCACATATTAAGCCACAAAACTCGACGCTTCTAGAAATCTAGTCAACCATTTAACCGTTGGCGTTGAGTTATCAAGCCCGATCAAGTTTAGTCTAATTGTAGAGTTATGATACAGACGTTCTTCAAGACCTTACTAAGACACACCTTTTAAAGAAAGATTTATACTCCTAATCCATCTTAAGGCATCTGATCCATCGATTTCTGTTTTGAGCTATTAAACCAATTTACCCAAATTCAAAAGTCTCTATGTTTCTATACTCCTAGTCCAGAATCAATAATTTTGTATATATACATTCATATGTTACTAATATATCATAATGAGATGGGCGAATCAAAAACTCCGATATGGTTAGGTGATGAGTTCCTATCCTTAAAAGAACATTTATACGTGGGATTTGTAATAGGTTATGCCAACTGTGTGCATTTGATGAGCACAAACGCCAAGCCGCAAAAATGATGATGCGAAAAACAAGAATATTAATACGGCGGCGCGCGTAGTAGAGGCGTAAACATTAGCGGGTGGCAGGCCAAAGCTGTGATTCCCTAAGTAGAAAAAATTAACTGGAGTCGGATTAATTGCGCACGCTTTTGTGAGCTAAATAGGAAAGACTTGCCGAACAGCGTTCTATAGAGTTTGTTACATACACCGCCTTTCTCTTAAATCTATAGGAGCCGTAGTTAGGATATAAAGCGCGTCAACGATAAGCGGTTATTACATCGGTTTGAGGACAATACATGTAAAGACATGCGCCACAATAAGGCAATTAGGACTTGGTATGTTTAATTGATGGTGTTGCGTAAAACACGGATGAAACACAGGGTTGCATTTTGAAACATGGAAATAAATACCGCCCAATTCAGCCCTTTGACCTGTAATGGGTGTTAGGGTTGAGACAAAAATATAAAGCAATTTTATTTCATTGTATTAGCTCACACTGGATAGCTCTATATATACGTTCTGACAATACAGTTCTTCCCAGAGTAAACTATATAATATAGTTTACACTGGATAGCTCTGTCAGTTCTAAACTGTTCTCCCCAGAGGTCCAGTAAAGGCCACTTCATCCACTGTTACTATACAGGAGGAAACCTAAACTAAACTAACATTATTTATACTGGTTAACTCTGTCAGTTCTAAACTGTTCTCCCTAGAGGTCCAATAAGAGCATCTGTTATTGATCCAGTGTTACTACAAGATCAAGGAAATCTAACTAAACTAACTTTATTTATACTGGATATAGTCGTATAAGTTCTAAACTGTTCTCTAAAGACTACGGCAAGGCCAAGTGTGTCTATAATATCTGTCTCATCAACTTTGCGGTGTAATTTTTGTGTTTCATAGTGTTAGCCTTGGGTTAGTTGGGGGGTAGGCTTAAGAGTTGGGGTCTTATTGCTGGGGTCTTATTTAGCTGCTACACAGCCGCCCTGTTGAAAAAAATACCCGAATTTCTTGGCGGAAAACTGAAGTTGGTGAGTTTGGGAGTTAGTATATTACAGATCGCACAGGGCAATCCCTTATTGATCCAGTGTTTTACTGCAGGAAGAAACTGAAGTACCTAAAGATAACTTACTTTGGTAAGTCAAACTGAAAGAATTGATTTGTCATGTGACTAAGGTTAAAGCCTGGCTCACACTAGCGATTCAGTCGATGATTTTTCTCTCCTGGCAAATGTGATTGAATGAATGACATGTAAAAGACTTAGAATTGTTCACTTCTGAAAAGCGACTCTATACTGTTGTGCGCGAGTTCACTCATTTGCATCAGTCGGAAACACAAAATCGCCGACAAAATTGCCAGTATGAACCAGATTCAAGAAAAGAGTTTAAGTTGGTAGAATATTCTTTCTGCATTTGGCAAGAGGTGAAGTGAAGATGAACGACGAGGTGTACTAACCAACACCCGACTTTGATGGGATATAATTCACTTAATTTCTTTTGCAGATTTGTGGCATGCTTTGATGGTGTCTTGTTGATGAATTTTTGTAATTTTCCTGTTTGATTCAGTGTTTAAATCTCAATTAGTTGCTTAGAATTCGGTAATAAGAGAGACTGCCCGCAGACCCTTGAAGTGATTCACTGGCAATCAAACTTCGCTTGTCAAAACTTGAATTGGTTAATGACACTAATATCCTTTTGACGTGTGGATAGATTAATGATGACATGTTTGGAAATTACTTGGTTTGGGCGCGCTTCCACTTCAATTCCACTTTTAAGAACATCGTTAAGCTTGTTAGTGTATACATGGGAAGCAAGAAAATTGTATCTGCCAGCAAAATAGTATCGCACCACACGAAATCGTTAAAGATTTTGAATTCAACTGTAGTAAAGTTATAATTAATAATGGATCAATAAGATAAGTTGGAACTGATAGAGCTATCCAGTATGAATAGTTAGTTTAGTTGGATCAATACTGGACCTCTAGGAAAAACAGTTTAGATAGAGCTAAGTCAGCTAACAGAGAGTTATCCAGTATAAGTAAAGCTTTACGGAGTTCTACTCTGTACTGAAGCTGTATAGGAGGAACGAGGGAAGAATAGCTTAGAACTGATAGAGTTAGTATGGAATTTGGTTTAGTTCAGACCGGCTAAACTCGACATACACGAAGAAGCTTTTCCATTTCCCCCCATTATATACATGTACAATATCAATGCAATGAAATTTTAGCTGTTATGATTATTTTGTATGGGTCATGCTTATATACCAAAAACATGCTGTAAACTCATTAGTTGACTGGGAACCATCAACCACGCATCAATGCTATAGCTGTTGCTCCATTAATACATTTGTTACAAAGTTCAAACTATAATCTTCGCTTGATATACAGATGAAAAGTAACTGTTCAAGCAACCAGGCGAAATAAATGTTTTTGTGTTTGTGAAGTCATCACTTCTTGTGGGGCATATTGAAAATCGATTAGTAGACAATAAAGAAGGTGCCACACCGCTTAACTCATTAACTTAAACATCTGTATCAGCCTGAGCGGATACTTATAGATCAAAACAAAAGTTAGACTCTTATAGCCTTTGAATAAGACCTCTTCCGACTTTGCAGTTGATACTATGAAATTCACTTTAAAATGACATGAAGGAGGAATATTTGCCATTTATCATCGCACAACCGACTCAGTTGAATAGATCAAAAATTTTATTCTTACAATGCATGTGTATATAAGACGTTTTTTTGAAAAACATTTCTTAGCCCTAGGAGAAACTTGGGTTGTAAATATTACCCATCTATTTAATGTACCTGGCTATTAAATTAACTGCATGGGAAAAGCGCGCATCTTCGGCGGAAACTCGTAAATCTTGACGCATTCAGAGATATCCTCACGACTTACTAAATCAAACACAAATCTTGTGATTACAGCCGGGTCTTTCAACTCTTTCCGAGGCATCACAGCTAAACCAATACTGTATTATCAATATGTTAAGTTTACTCGAATTGGATTCAAACCAATAAACCTCGCTAACATTTTAAGCTATCGCGTTAGCTAACAGTCCCATTTAAGAGCGCGCGGAATGATGATTATGCTTGCCTCCTCGTAGTGAGAACCAAACTGTGTTCACTGGATATTTTCACGACTCGTTAAATAAACACTATCTTACAATGTTTCAATTCGAGTAAATCTGGATTGAGGACAACGCTTTAGAAATGTTCTACGCCGCTAACAAGAATGATAAGTAGCCGCAGACAAGATTAATTACATCAATTTTGCCGATGCGGAATCTTCTGAAATGTTTTTAAATGAGCTCGGTTTGAATGAATCCGAGCTCTTGTTGTTAAACTGAGCTTTTGAGTTTTCGATACCAGAAATTACTAGCTTTTAAACCTGCGCCATAGGTGTTTGTTGCATTAAATATACAGAGCACGTATGATGATCTGTTAAGATAGCAAACGATATTGAAACAAGATCTTACCTTTGGTGTCCAAGAGAAAATAGTAAATGTAAGTGGATGTAGACGTGCCCAATTCAGGTGCCAACAATTTTCTTCTATCTTTTATCTCCAACGTAACACTTCGTCCGACGGTTGAACACATAATGAGCTAAATGCGAGAAAGGATCATCATTAAATTAGTTTTGATTCACCTAAGGACCTCCTCTTACCGCCCTTTCGTGTACCGTCTCACACCAGGGAACGAGTAGAGGGACAATGAACCGCTCTGGACACGACCATCTTGTTTAAAAGAACTAATTAAGTAATTAGCGCACACTACAACATGTAATAACCCGCGAGATGTAACGGTAAATATGACACGAGTGCGGTGCGTTGGATAACGGAATATCAAAGAAAATAGACAATATTTTACATTGCCGACAGGTACTGCTTGTATGATGAGCATTGCGCACTCATCAAATTTACTCACTGCTCTTCTAGCCCACAAACCTTACAACGGATGATCCAAGCTATGGACTAAATTTTGATCTAGGCAAGAACAAAATTCATCACCACAGCTAGAAAGAGCATGTTACATCTATTAAAATTGCAAAGTTTTGTTGCGAAATGTTGTAAAAGGCGGAAAATATAGCCCTACGAAACTTGCAAATTTTGTATTAATTTGCCGTTACGCACGCGAAAATGCACCACTTTCGGCCCAAAATTTCAGTGCGTGTTTTATCAGACCTAAAGATACTCGGCTTCATGTTTTAAATAGTACTTGTGAAACTCATTAATAAGTCATGAAGAAAACACGAAAGAAATCATGACTGTGAAGATTGTTTATCTGATACAGAATCATGCTAATTTATATAAACTTTACGTTCAATTTTCCCAGCAAATGTCGTTCATTTATTTTAAATTGTTGAAGAATACGAATGTTCTCATTAGACGTTTCACAAGCCATTTACTATTTTTATGTAACAGTACATAAAAATAGCTGTAGAAAACAATATTACATATCAGTCCAATTTAATTTAATTTAATGTAATTCATGTCATTACATAGATATAGAGAATAAGTACAAGATAGAGATAGCTAGTGCTGTGCGCTGGAATTTCGGCCTGTTTTGCCGGAGCTGGAGTTCAACCCCAGCAAAACTCCGGCAGCACTTATTTGTGCTGCAAACTACTGTCGGACATCGGCAAAAACCTGTAGGCTTGCCACAAACATAGTACGAAATGTTCATGCAAAGTGTTAAAATCAAAGACAGTGCTTCCACTTTGAAATTTGCATTAAATTTCGAATTTTCAGAAAGTTTTTTCCATGGAGCCAGAGTTTGCACATAACTAGTCACAGAGATAACATAAATGTCTAATTTAGAACAGTTTGTGAGTTGGTTCTGTACACATTACAGATATTTCACAGCACACTCCCTATCAGGGCTTTTCAGTGACTGGTTACATTAGAATAGATAGATAGACCGGACTGAACTGAAGCAGACCGAGGTAGACTTTGAGCTTACAAATGGCGCTTGAGCAGCCGTTATTAGTCCATACCTCATTAATGATCTGCCTCCAGACCTATGTGCCTAACCCACCCTGTCAACTTTCCCTGTGGGAGGAAACACGGAGTACCCGGGGAAAACCCACGACTTTCGGCAAAGCGTTGACTTTTTACTCTTTTCACATGAGGACTGGGTTCGAGTCACATTGAGAGGTTCTCACTGAGATTTGAACCTGCGGCCTTAGAGGTGAAAGGCAAGTGTGCTAACCACTTCGCCACCGAAGCCCCCTACTAGCGCTGGTGATTAGTTGCTCTGCGTGTTCAAGACCAAGACCTGAGGTCATGTATTCAAGCTGGTTTCTCACTCACTGGCTCCCCACAAACACAGAGTAACGTCACTAAACACTCCTTAATTTTCTCAAACATCAAGTTCTTCACTTCGAGGTAACATGAATGTCTAATTTAGAACAGTTTGTGATTTGGTTCTATACACATCTAAAGCACTGGAGATTAGTTGCTCTGCTTGTTCAAGACCAAGACCTGAGGTCATGTATTCAAGCTGATTTCTCACTGGATCACCACAAACACAAAGTAACGTCACTAAACACTCCTTAACCTTCTCAAACATCAAGTTCTTCACTTCGAGGTAACATGAATGTCTAATTTAGAACAGTTTGTGATTTGGTTCTATACACATCTAAAGCACTGGAGATTAGTTGCTCTGCGTGTTCAAGACCAAGACCTGAGGTCATGTATTCAAGCTGGTTTCTCACTAGATCACCACAAACACAGAGTAACGTCACTAAACACTCCTTGATCTTCTCAAACATCAAATTCTTCACTTCCACAGCAGCAATACTTGACATGGATACATCAATAATAAGCTTCATTAAACACTTTAACATGTCATCAGCATGGACTGGAACCCGCGGCCAAGCGTTAACAATGACACATTTCAAAACACTGAGCATGGCAAGTCGCCACGCTTCTGTTTTGCCATCCCCGATCCCTAAATATCCAAAAATGACCCTCAACAGATGCTTCAAATGCTTCACAATGCTAATTCCCATATGAAGCACAAACAATGCCAAATTGTTACAATAAGCTCGTCTCATTAGGATCTTACTCTCATACTCCATTGCTGCTAAAATAATTTGCAAATTTTCATCACACTTATTTGTTTTATGATTGGCAATGGAATTCTTTGGAGAGGGCTCAAGAACTTGGATTATTTTCAACAAACAAGGCTGTAAAACTTGCATTACTTGAGGCTCATTAGTATGTATACGATGATGTAGAGCATCGTAAATTATATCTGCACGACCATACCAACATAGTTCAGTTGCATTCATGTTTTCGATCACATGAGACAAGGTTAGAATGCCAATAACACGGTTTTGAACTCGATAATCGTCAACCAAGATTAAGAGAGGCGGCAGCATCATTGAAATGTGTTCTCCAAGATAAGGATGTTTCACATTTGTTATCAACCATATCAGCACATGTATTGCAACAGGGTAATCAGGCAGCTTGTAGGTCGCCATAAACATTTTCATATTTTCTAAAATATCACCAAGGAGTCTGCTTGGGAATAAACAGCCACGTTCTGCATGGTCATTCACAACAGAATCTTTCCCACAAAGCAAGTCAACTGCACCACGGCTGCCACAAATAACTGTCAAAGACTCTAAGATTTCCAGTGCAATTTTCTTACAGCTATCCAAAATCCAGGTTTGGTCACCAATTTGCTGTAAACAGGTGATCATTAATTCACATGCAACCTTGTTTAGTACACTTAACTTGAAGTTTCTGAGAATTTCCGTTTGTGAATTCTCAGAAATTGTTTCTAGAACCAAGTGGCATAATTGTAAAATTCCATGATATAAATGAAGTTTTCCATGAGTTTCTAGCTGTTCTGCATTAAATGGCATTAAATTTATAAGCTTTAATAGTGAACTTAGAAATCCTATTATAGCTTTCTTGGATTCCTCAAGCTCTGACGTTTCCAGGATTTTCAATTCTCGTGCGTCGACTCCGATAAACCACTCGTAGGAACAATTTCTTAGAATTTCAGTAAGAATTCTACATACTTTCAAACATTGTAAGTATTTTTCGGTCCTTTCAAGCTCTTTTAAATACTCTGCCGTAGTGTGAAGCAAAATTTGAGACGAGAACAATTCGGGAATTCGTGAGGCAAATTCGATCAAATTAAAATTGCCCACGCCTTGCCCAATAAAAACCTCATTTTCTTGGTCAAAATGTGGCGGAAACCACTCACAAATTATGTCAAATATATCCTTTAGCAATTGCCTCGAGTTGCGGTTGCCTTTATGCTTTTTAATTAATTTTCTAAACGTTTTTTCACCCAAAAATTCAGCAAGAATCGTATTACATTCTTCGAGTGACTTCGCCGCCATTTTGGTAAAAATGGCTACCTACTCGGGGTAGGGTAGTGTGATAACTGGAGATAACTTTTCCCAAAAAAGTTAGCTAAAACCTCATACAAATACAAAATAATTCTAAAACCTGTTTCTTCTGACTTTCGAGCATATTTTGGCAACTTTAACATACTTTACATAAGTGCATTGTTATTAAAAGAATTCTTACATTATTCTGCCTCCCCTCCTTAGTAGATTGTCGTCTTGAAAGCAGCCAAAAAATTCCAAAAATACATGCGTCATTATAGTACAAACCATTTCAACATGAATACCAAACGAAATCGTCCCGAATCGAACGAAACGGTTGCAAAAAAGGCCAAATTCATGGATGGGCTATCGCGATATGAAATATCTGAGTCAGAAAAGGCATTATTTGAGCCAGAATGTCAAACCAAACACGAAGACCGCGAAGCACAATCACATGGCGAACCGACTTTTCGCGCCAATATAAATCAGGTCAATGACGACACCGATTCGGAGCTAAGTGACCTTATAATCGACTTTTTGATGATTTTGACTCGGCAGATGAACAAAATCGACAGCCCGTGGCAGGTAACGTAGGTTAAGCTGCTAAAATAGTTTCTAGCAGTCCAAAAGCGGGAAAACTATCGATATTTGTTTGTGTTTTGTGACCGCCATTTTGAATTCCGCTGTCACAAATATTCGCCGGTATTTTTCGATTTTTCATACAATTTTAAAGTGTTTATCGAAAATTTGTTTACGCTAAAGATAGATTAGGCTGATTTAAAGGATAATTGATAAAGATCTTTGTTGTATGTGTTTAAAAATTTGAGTAATTCTATAAGTTTGTAAAAATATTTTTGCCGGAAATAAGGAAATTCCAATATGGCGGCATTGCTCGCCTTGCGTATAAGAGACTGGGTCGAGCACGCACGGTGTTTCGTAATTCGTCAAAGGAAAGGCGGGGGGGGGGGGTAATCTTACAAAAATGAAATCCCATCCATAAATACAGTCAAATAGGTGTGGAAATAGCTAGTGGATATGGCCCTCTTCACTTACAGTACCCTTCCCAGAGGAGTTACCCCCTGCTGCCCCTAGCCTGTTCCCTCTTGCAATGAACCCCCAATCTTTCATCATAATTCTATATATTGTCCAAATTAATGACAAACACATTTACATGGTTAGGTCCGATGGGTTGGATTCAGAGACACATAGAACAGGGAACAGATCCTCGACATATTTTACAAGAAATGTTACCATCAAATATTGTATTGGTAAGAAAATAAATGTACTTACCCAACAGTAACTCCACTCAAGTGATGTTGTCAACCACATTCTTTCATCTGCCAGTTGGCACCAAATCAACTCCTCAGTCCTTTCTAATTTGTTCAAATAGCACATCCAGATATTCTGTTGTCTTCCTTCTTGTGCACTTTCCCTGTTCACCTTGATACCTCCTTGTTTCTCAATGACATGCCATCCATGAAATACTCATTACGCATTGCATAAACCACATTTCAGTTGCTTTAAGTGTGTCAGTTGTGTGTTGCACAGCCATATATGATATGGGGCATAAGATGGCAGCCATAGGAACCTTTATTCAGGATTTGATCATATTTAACGTGTATTCTTTGCAAATCAGCGCTCAGCTACAAGGGAAGATGATTAGCATCTTCCACGTTCATCATTCCTATTGATGACAACTTGATTGAAAAAACAACAAAGTTTCATCAGTTTTGTTTTGCACTGTGATTAAAATTGTCTCCATTTTCCTTTCTAGCCAGAAGACATGGATATATTCACGATGTGGAAAGTGATATTTGACCTGATTACCGACCCACAACCTCGACAAAAATTACCTGATATAAACACATTAGTTCAAGTCGTAGATCTATTAAAAACCTCTAGAAATATTCTTGTATTAACAGGAGCTGGGGTTAGTTTGTGATTTACGATTAGCATTTCTATATAGCGCAAATTTAGATGTGGATACGATCAAATGCGCTTTACATCGCCTAGACTATTTTATCTTTACAACAATGGACCATTTGCATATAGACTAAATTTTGATCTGAACAAGTGTGGACAAAAATTTCATCACAGCTTGAAAGAGCATCACAAAATTAGTAATATTCCAAAGTTTCGTTGCGAAATGTTGTAAAATGCGGATAATATAGCCTTGCGAAGTTTGCCATTTTTCAGTCATTTTGTATTACAAACGGGAAATTGACAGCCCCAAAGGGTATTGGGCTGTCAATTTCCCCCGCGTAATACAAAATGACTGAAAAACGGCAAACTTCGCAAGGCTATATTATCCGCATTTTACAACATTTCGCAACGAAACTTTGGAATATTACTAATTTTGTGATGCTCTTTCAAGCTATGATGAAATTTGTGTCTAGACTTGTCTAGATCAAAATTTAGTCTATAATGCAATCCTAACCCACCCTATCAACTTTCCCTGTGTGAGGAAACCGGAGCACCCGGAGGAAACCTATGACTTTAAGCAGAGCATTGACTGACTCTTTTCAATTATCATTTTGAAGTGGCGTTAAAGCTCCTAGTATGAATCAAGTTGGTTTAGTTCACTGTCCTCAACACATATTGGAAGAATATCTTGGATTACTGATGGGTATCGTTTTTCTTTAGGTGTCAGTTTCTTGTGGTATACCAGACTTCAGATCACGAGACGGAATTTACGCAAGATTAAGTAAAGAGTACCCTGACTTGCCTGACCCGCAGGCAATGTTTGACATCAATTATTTCCGATATAACACAAAACCTTTCTACAAGTTTGCCAAGGTATTAAAATCTTGTTCATATACAGACAGAATGTACTGTCCATCTCTCTCTATGTTCATAGAGCATTTTTGATGTGCTTGTTTATTTAGGAAATTTATCCTGGCAAATTTAAACCGTCCTTAAGTCACAGATTTATCCATCATTTGGAAAAGAACAATAAATTGTTGAGAAATTATACTCAAAACATCGATACTTTGGAACGGGAGGCTGGAATTACACGAGTCATTGAATGCCATGGTGAGATATAGAATAATTTTATTCAAGACTGGTTTTAAGACTGAACCAATTCCACATGCAGAAAGTTGTTTTAAGGTTCATTTCAACTTCACATTTCATGGGTCTTAGACTATGTGCACACGGTGACGTTTTCGAGCGTTTTCATTTGTGTTTTCATGCTAAAACGGATGCAAACACTATCAATTAACGACAAAAGCTGTAGTTTATTTAATATATTGGAAATATTTTCCTTTGGACCCTGTGAACAGGGCGTCAAAACGATTAAAGGGGCAAAAACGTTTTTGAAAACGCTGGAAAACGACGCCCATGTGCACATAGAGTCCCGTTCGCACTCTTGAACATTGACATTGTTCAACAAAGTTGTTAAAACAAAACAAAAACAAAAAACTTTTAAACTATTTAAGAGGAATATTTCTTTTTCAATATTATAGGTTCATTCTCGACAGCATCATGCACCAACTGTAAATATAAAGTACCGTCAACCGCTATCCGAAATGATATTTTGAATCAGGTAATATACTGTCCCTGCCATATGACTTAAGTTTGTGTGTGTGTGTTGTATAATGTATATGTGTGTGTGTCTGTCTGTATGTCTCTTCATGTGTGTGTGTTTATCCACACGTCTCGTATTCTCTCTCTCTTTATACACCTCTTCCCTCTCTCATCCACTCCTTCATAGCAATTTTGGTAACATATATATTTTTTTTATAATTTGCAACTTCGCTGGCAGGTGCCTTGCATAAGTCCAAATTCTAGAGTCTCGTTCGTACCCTGCCATTTTGGATCACTCGCTAAATATACAGTATATCTGTATAGTATCGCTATCTAAACATCTGTATAGTTTTTGTTTTCTTTCTACATAGTGAACTTATCTTGTAATAATTTGATCCATTTGTTAAAATAAAATAAAATAAATAAAAATGAAAGATCAAATTAATCTATACCTCTCTCAGTCTGATCGAATAAATATATGACTGCTACTCATAAGCCATGATCAAAATATTATTTTACCTTTATTATTAGGTAACGCCACTGTGTCCAAAATGTCCAGTTTCTGAAGATTCACTTTCTGTCATGAAGCCAGGTACATTTTCAGCTTTCCTATTGAGAAAAAGTGTTATATAAGAAGATACTTCTTCGTGTGCTCGAAATGTCATAGTTTCGATGGCAAGCTTTCAACTCGCGTTCTTCACAACTGTTCAGCTCATAGCCTGTGTCATAGCTCTCAGCTGCAAGTAAGGATGATAAACACACTTCCACTTACTATACTTACATATTCTATTTCAGATATTGTGTTTTTTGGTGAGAGTTTGCCTCAGAAATTTTATGATTGTATTCAACAAGATATAAATCAGGTGAAACGATGAAAAATATTCCGATAAAGAAACACTCGCATAATAGTACCCTTGTTCCGGTGGGCTTTTTTACACTTCCACCAGAACATCTTCGGTATCTTAAATTAACTTTTATATGATTTTTTTTTCAGGTTGATTTACTCATCGTTATTGGGTCTTCACTGAAAGTCAGACCTGTGAATTTAATAACAAGTGAGAAATGATTTCTTTTTACCCATTGAAACGCCATCGCTTTCTCTTTGTCACTTTGATGATTAAAATTGCCTGGCGTTAGTGTAGGGAACATTGTCGCTAGATTGTTTTACAGTATCATACATAATCACGCTCCATTAGTTGATAGCATTAAGGACGATTAAGACTACACAACTTTAGGGATCTTATGCTATGTCTACCACAACTTTCTTATTATAGATCAAATACCAGCTAACATCCCACAACTTTTAATAAACCGTGAACCATTACCAAGCATGAATTTTGATGTTGAACTTCTGGGAGATTGCGACACAATAATCGCACATTTGTGCAAACAACTTGGTGTACCATGGAATGAGGTTTTACAAGGTTTTGAAATTCCCAACGTCTCGAAGGAATTCCTAACGCCTTTCATACCAACACCCCCTGATTCTCCAACCAAAGATGGTTACAAGGAGGGCGTCCTTCATCATCATGATGATGGTTTGGGAAAGAAGTGTTGTGATTCGGAAAAGATCGTTGGAACTGGTGATCCATTGGATCAGTGTCAGAGAAAAGACAAAGGTAACGTTACTGATCAACTTCGGAACATGGCTGAAGAACAGGGTTCGTACATGCAGGGCCGCCGAGAGGCGCAGGGGGAGGGGGCAAGTTACCCCGGGCCCCCACCTTAATAGGGCCTCAACTTGAGACCGAGAGCCTAAAATTGAATAGGTCCTTTAAATTGGTTAGAGCATTTTTGAAATCGAGGGCCCCTTACAGTAGCTCCACATACTAGTTGGGTGACTGACTTGGGTCTAGCTTAAAAATAATTATGTCATGGGGCCCCCAGACAAGATTTTCCCTGCGCTATCTAGTGTATATAAGATATCTATGATCCATGACCGGTGGAGTATTATGTAATTATTATTAAAATCTCCAATACTATCTTTATTTTTGTAGATATTTCTCATATATTTCTTCCACCATGTCGATATATTTTCCACGGTGCTGAGATTGGACGATGTGATTCACCATTGCCATTTGAGGACGATCATCATGATCATGAGTCAAACAATGATGATTGTTCAATCGAAATTGAAGACGTGAGTTGTACTGAACGTGGACACATTGAAAAGGACGAAGGTTTCAAAGACAATTGCGAGCATACTGACACAGAGGAGCGTGAATTTAGAAGTACCAGTGAAATGACACAGAGTGATTTGCTTACAAACGCTGACTGTTTCCCGACTTCGGAGGTTAAAGAATAATGGTTGCTTGGTCTTTGGAATACCGTAACGCTATCTCGATAAGGAATCAGGGTGGTTTAGGGAATAGCCTGCAAGCAGGCTCACTGGGTATTTAGGGAAGTTTGCTCTCTATAAAAATGACTGAACTAGGGGGCACGTCAGACTGCATTCGTCAGCGAATTAAGTTGTGAAGGTTCGTTTTTAAGCCGGTTATAGACGAGCAAATTACTGAAAGGTGAAAAATGTGTGATGGAGACTGAATTATTCGTGAATTATTTTTGTACAAAATATCTACAGTATGGCCTGGTTATAACCAGTTATTTTTTTATTGAAATCTACGGTAATAAGGAAGAACTATCTCCGACTTTCTGACCGTTTTTGTGTTGTATAGGAGTACCAATCTGCCAGCTGGATAATATCGGAATTATTTTGTGTGACATGGTTTATGCATAAACTGCAATTTAGTCAGATGGTGGATGTAAATACAAAGAAATCATAGATTATTTTATGATGGAATAAATCTTTTTTACTGTATTTTGTAAAAATTATATTCAATTTAAAGTGTGTATGACATGAAATTTCTTATTTTCTTGAATGAAAGAACTCTTTAAGCTGTAGTGTAACTTATTTTTCAGTTTCTTGTTTTTATGGTTTGTTCCAGAGATATTTCAATTTGTTTTATTATGTAAATGAGTGTGAACGTGTCCGCTAATTTATGACGTCACTTTGGTTGCAAGCTCAACTTACACTGGTTATAAATGTATTAACTCTAAAAACTGTAGATATCAGTTCACGTTTTTCTCCAGTGTTTCATCACATTTACCAGTGAGCGAAGTTTGACACTATCATCTTGGATGATAGCAGTGATATTCAACCAAATTAAAGAGCTTGCAACCAAAGTGACGTCATAAATTAGCGGACATATTCATACTTATTTATATATCAAACAAAACTGGAATATCTTGGGAACAAACCATAAAAACAAGAAACTGAAAAATAAGTTACACTACAGCTTAAAGAGTTCTTTTATTTAAGAAAATAAAAAATTTCATGTCATATGCACTTTAATTACAATGGTACTCACTACTCAGTAGTCTGGTGATCAAAAAATTACCCTGGAATACTATGAGTGCAGGTAAATATAATTCTTACAGTAATTTTTTTCTGGAAATGTTAAAAGGTGGTATTGTAAGAGCCATAATTGATTATTACCACAATTGACAAATATTGAGGGAATCTGGGAGAAATAATTATTTCTACCCAGAATCCCAGATGCCTCTCTTGAACAACAAAAGATTCACTCTTAAACAATGCATGGTATTCACAATTTTATTTTTATTACAAACAATTTAAGTCGTCTATTTCCAAATCTAGTAACTTGAAAGGTATCCCCTGGAAAGAAAAAAAAAGAAGTTTAATTAAAATAAAGACAATTGCTGTACAGACGAATACTTGTATACAAAACAGTAGGGGTGTACAGGAACCAATTTTTTTTAAGTTAGAACTGGCCAGAACTGGAAAAAGTTCCTACCAGAACTGATTAAGCCATATATAGTCATATGTTATGTTGTCTGCTGCCAGACACTTAAAGTCAACAAGGAGAGAGCTCGCAAATCAAATATTAGAATAAAATTCAAAAGATTGACAAATGTTAAACATCATAATGAAGTGTTAATAGTGTACATTTTCATTCTGTAGTTCAAATTTCCCCCTGCTGTGAACTTTTGTTAGACACAAAAACGTTTGATATTCTATCTCTCTGAAAACAACACAGTTCCGGCCATGCTTTTTTTACTAGTTCCGGCCGGAACCGGAACAATGAAAAATTAGGGTTCCGGCTGGAACTAACCGGCCAGAACCGAGTTCCGGTGTGCCCTGTACAAAATAGTTAAACATGCAACTGTTAGACTATTATGATGGCTAACTTCAAACTCTGAAACTTAACCAATTGAGTGCCAGCGCTCTCCCCTTGACAAGCAAAATCATCTGGCATTAGATGGAGTAAAATGGTAAAGTTTGGCACATTAGGACACAATGCAACTTAATGGGGTGAAAGAAATCAAATAGCCTTAAAATACATCTTGTATATTGGATTTTTTTAATACAAAAATGATCAATATACTTACGGCAATTTCATTTTCATAAAAATGCGGCAACAGATGAAAGCGACAATAACACAAATAAACCCGAGGGCAAGGAGTAGCAATCGATTTAGTTTCGGCAACCCAGGGGAGTTTGATTTGTCGAGAACGATGAAACCAAGTCCACCAAGAGAGAACATGAAACTTGCAGCCAAACCTTCCATTATATACTGTCCATTGACTCGATAAGGCATAAATGCAACCTAGAGGGAAAATGTGCTATTTTGAATCATAATTCAAGCAATTCACATACTTTACAGTTCATGATACTCAAACTATGCAAGTATTTCATGGTGTGTTTTTTAGGCCAAATAAAAAAATATGTGGGTTTCCGGTTTCCCGACCCTACCTAGCTTTTGGACGTCGAAATCCCGACCCTAAACTTTTTTATTGGATCACGCTTGTAAGTGTTTCCACTTAGAGCAAAACGTTTGTGGAAAATGAAAATTTGAGGCAATATTACAGAAATTTATTTTTGGATGTGGAAGCACTGACTAAACAAAATGGCGTCCGGTTGTTAGGAAAATTTAAAAAAAAGTTTAAAAAAAAAGTTAAAACCGACCTACCCTACCTAAGTTTTTACAAGAGGAAACCGGAAACCCACATTTTTTTTTGGCCTTATTGCGCGCATGCTGCTATTTTATGGTGTTTTTCATGCTGTGTGTATTCTGTGATTCAGTGATTATTTGGGTATTTTCTGGTACTGGTAATGCCAAATAAATACTACAGCTTATACAGCTTGCTCATCAAAATGACAAAATATGCTAAAAAGTTTCTAAACATCTTACAGGTTTGCTGTTGCCATGTTCATCTGTCGTACTTCCAATGCTCGGTGGCTCCACGATTACATCATAAATAATGCCTGAAATTGTGAATTTTAGTTAAATCCAGTGTAACATGTAGTGCATACGAATGTCTATCATTTATGGGGAGACTGTATATCAGTATATGTGAATTCATCTGTGAAACACAATACTAATTACAGGAGTTTTAAAGGACATCGAGTCATGCTTTGCCAGCCATGCCTCTCTTTCAAATTCACACAAAATTGACATATCAAAATTGAGACTATAATAATACCAAAATTATTGATGTAAATTGATACAGTTTTACAGTGCAGTCAACGTGTACATTTTTATAAATCACATGTTTACAAAAACCCCTCAACTTTAACCCTCGATATCTGAGTAAAAAATCCTTACCTCCAGTGACTAAGAAATACGAAAGAAGCACCAAAGCAAAAACTACCATTGCCGATGGAACTTTGAGCCATCCTGGCTTTTTAATCCTGATATTTGGCAGTTCAAGGACATGAAAATATAGCCCATACACAGACTCCATATTGTTCTCCCAGAAAAGAACACGAAGCTAAACTTCATTCCAATTGGTTAAAAAACAACCAATCAAAACCCACGACGTTGATCTCAAAACGCCATTTAAAATCACGTGTGTAATAAATTACTCGATTTTGATTGGTTGACGATGATCGAAGGTTGCTTCTGATTGGTCAGTGAGCGACAGGCGCAAATTCGAAAACTTCCTTGTCGTTTTCAAAAAGCTGAGCTTGCAAAGAGAAGACAAGCGATTCGTTTCAAAACTCAAATTTCTGGTTAGGTAAGTAAGGTAAGTACATAGTTTCCCTTGCTTGTTATAAATAAATCTTTATCTGTTAGTATTAGATTTCCTTTAGGCCGAGTTTCAGCTTCTCGCGAAATAAAAATCGGCGATTAAAAACGATTTTATTTGAACAGGACAGCGATTGTTGAATGGCAACAATGGCGAATGACGACTACATGTAGTGAATTTCAACCGACTTTTAAGCCCTAATTTAAGCTTTCTCAAACTGATTACATATATTAAGAATGTGTTATGAAACGTTATTTTGTGAATTTAAGTATAAATAAAGTCCAGTAAGTGAACGAATAATCTGATAATAGCTCACACTTTCCACTTGCTTCAAATTTCAGAATGCCTTGTGTACATTTTTCATAGGTTTATTGCCCCTAGTTCTCCCATGTCTGGTTTTGTCATGACGACCATGAAAGACTACGAAAAGATTGAAAAAATTGGCGAAGGTTTGTTGGCTTTAATTTAGGACATTTATTTAGTACACACATTCTGCTCCTGAAAGCAGTTTATCTCATTTCAATTTTCGAATATTCTCTATTTTGATAGGTACATATGGCATCGTGTACAAAGCGCGAAATTTGATAACTCGTAAATTGGTTGCTTTGAAGAAAATTCGTTTAGAATGCGAAGACGAAGGCATGCCAAGTACATCTCTGAGAGAGATATCTGTGCTCAAAGAATTAGAACACCCAAATATTGTACAGTAAGTAGCTCTGGCATCAGAGAGTAAAGTAACAAAATAGGGGCATTAGAGTGCATTGCAATTTAATGGGTTAATATGAGGCATAGGAAGATCAGGTCTACTATGAGATCAGTGGGTAAAATACTCAAAATAGCCTATAGTCCTACCCTTTATTCCACTGGGGTGCCACATATGGGTGCCATTGTTAATCTTTTCAATTTTGTGAAAATGTATTTAGGTTACAACGTGTTGTTTATGAAGAAGATAAGCTCTATCTGGTATTTGAATTCCTCACAATGGATTTAAAGAAACATCTCGACACAACAAGTGGATTTCTGGATAAAATGCTTGTAAAGGTAACTATTTCATTATGTACTTTAACCCATTGAGTGCCACCGCTCTCCCCTTGACAATAAAATTGTCTGGGATTAGACCAAGTAAAAATGGGCTAATCTACAATATCATTTTCAAGCAGTTTTCAGATGCCGCTTATTGTAGAATACTAGCTACATTATGGACACATATTTGAGATATGCTCACCATATATTTTTGTTTCCTAGAGTTATTTGTACCAAATATTAACTGGCATGCTTTTCTGTCACACTCGAAGAACACTACACCGTGATCTTAAACCACAAAACTTGCTCATCGATGACTCGGGTGTAATAAAACTTGCAGATTTCGGGTTGGCTCGAGCATTTGGTCTACCTATTCGCGCTTACACACATGAGGTAATTATAGCATCATTACTAATTAACCAAGTTTCATTTGAATGCCCTCTGGTGTAGTAGCTAAGACATTAACTTGAAACATTGATGTAATTATTGTAATTCATTATTGGTTAATTATGCAATTCTATCCATTTAGATTGTGACATTATGGTACCGTGCCCCAGAAGTTCTCCTCAACTCCCCTCGTTACTCCACTGCAGTTGACCAGTGGAGCATCGGCTGCATCTTCGCAGAACTGGTTACCAAGCGACCATTGGTTGCAGGTGATTCTGAAATCGACCAACTATTCCGTATTTTTAGGTAAGCACAAGTTCGAAGTGTTTATGCAATTTATCCCTGTAGGCCAGGGTGATTTGCATTGACTGCAATGCCTAAATAAATTTGCCAACAGTGCCCCAAACTTTCACACCAACAGCACCCCTTTTTTTCTTCCAACCCTATTATTTTTTCAACATGATTGACCATGCAACCCTATTTTCTCCGGTTGGTTGCACCGACTGGCCCTATTATTTTTTCAATGTGATTGACTGTGCGACCCTATTTTCTCTGGGTGGTTGCGGGCTGCTGCCAAAATGGCGTCTGTTGTCACACTAATTATTGAAAAAAATATTCAAAAAAAATTATTTCCGACCTACCGACCCCAATTTTTTCGCGATATTAAACCGGAACCACAGGTATTTTTTTACGCCTTAATTAAAACTTATTCATGAATTGATCATCACAGGCTTCTAGGTACGCCAACAGAAGAAAACTGGCCAGGAGTAACCAAGTTACCTTTATACAAACCAACGTTTCCCAAGTGGACCAAATCTGAGAATGACGGATTGAAGAAAGTCGTTGCGACACTCTGTAGCAGTGGTATCGACCTCCTGGAGAAATTTTTCATCTATCAACCAAGTATGCGTATCTCTTGCAAGAAGGCGCTACAACATGCCTACTTCTTGGACCTCAATACCAGCTCTTTACCCGCACTGCCCGATCTCTCTTGATCTATTTTATGTTTTGTCCTTTTATTTTATATCAGAGACATTTATTTAGTATATCTGAAGATACTGACCTATATTCCCATTAATGTAAATATTAACTGTGTTGTATTTAATACTCTGTAATTTATCTTGATTGCACATCATTAGTAGAGCACAAGAAATCTGGAATTAATTAATACCTGCCCAAAGAGAACATCAGCCATCAGAGTCTTGAAACATGGCATCTGTATATAATGTAACTCCACTCTGTAAGTTCACTTGTTTGGCCATGATGATACTCTAAACAATTGAGAAAAATGTATAACCAAGTCATAGACTGCACTCTGGGAACAAAGTATGCCTGTAAAAGTGCTAGGTTTATTGACAAAAGTTTAAAATTAAAATTGATATTGCAATTCACTTATCTTACACAAGTACTTTCTCACATTTCACCGTTACCTTGTAAAACCTGGACTCAGGTATGTAAAGCATTGGACTGAGCCCATGACTTTTAAAAAATTGACTGAGTCTACGTTTTACGAAACGTGAACTCAAGCCCCGTTTACACTACGCTCAATTTTTGGTACGGCACGCATAAAATCGGTACCCGTACCACTTTTTTGGTTCTTGGACTACCTATTTAGGTAGTCCAAGAACCAAAAAGTGGTACGGTACCAAAAATTAAGCGTAGTGTAAACGGGGCTTAGCTAAATAGGTAGTCCAAGAACCAAAAAAGTGGTACGGGTACCAATTTTATCCGTGCCGTACCAAAAATTGAGCGTAAGTGTAAACGGGGCTTCAGTCCATGTTTTACAAATCGCCGCCTGACTGAGTCCATGTTTTGCGAGTCCAGTTCATGTTTTACAACGTGCCTGGTCGTACTCGGAAAATTTAGGGTTTCTACATGAATGGGCTTCGTTATTGGTTGAATGGTTGTTCATTGAAAAGACAATGAACTATAGAAATTACCTTTCGATTTCTAAAGAACGAGTCATAAACCACTGATCACTATTGTTTTATGAATTATGAAGTCAATCACGAAACACGATATTTTAGCTTTGTATTTACTCGATGTGGAATAGACATTTCCCCTTCTGATTTTGATCTAGACAAGTCTGGACAAAAATTTCAACACAGCTTGTAAGAGCATCACAAAATTAGTAATATTCCGAAGTTTCGTTGCGAAATGTTGTAAAATGCGGATAATGTAGCCTTGCGAAGTTTGCCGTTTTTCAGTCATTTTGTATTACAAATGGGAAATTGATAATCAGTTTGATCATCTGATTATCAATTTCCCGTGCATTAGGCCTTGCGTTAATCCCAACAGCCAGTGGTTCCGAGTGCCTCCAAGAGCCTGTGAAACTGGACATCAAAGAAGAAGGTTGGTGTTTGAACTTACTTGTCTTAAATATTATTTCATTTTTGGGCGCGAACAGGATGTGGAGGTTCTGGCGGCCACCAACGTTTATGAAAGGGCTTTGTGATTGGTTGATCATAACAATAAAAGACAATGAACTATAGAAATTATCTTTCTAAAGAACGAGTCGTAAACACTGATCACTATTGTTTTATGAAGTCAATCGCGAAACACGATCATTTTAGCTTGGTATTTACCATTGAACTACAGGGTGTCTCAAAACAACCCAAAATCATTGAAATAACGTATTGTTCGAATTTCAATGCCGTAACACAAAGGATTTTCACAGGGTGATTAATGTAAAGTGAACGTTTGTTTGCTCATGGGAATTTAAAAATGCTTCGTAAATTGTAATATGCGTAATATGCATTCGTGGGTTTAGTACTTTATGCCTGACATAACAAGTTTACGCTGAATATTACCATTCATTATAGCAGTTATGTCAATCTTTTATGCACTCGTGGGATTAACTTAGTGCTAGGGCATTGAATATCGAACAATACGTCAATTTCAATGATTTTGGTTTTTTTGGAGACACCCTGTATAATATTAGACCTTTCACTGGCATTGTCCATTAGGGCTTTATTGAAGAATAATCCAGCTTCTTTTAAGGCGGTTTTCCACTAGGCGAAATTTTTCGACCGAATCGAAATTTCTCTTTGTTTCAGAGCTCTCGAGCAGAACTAATTGTAAAAAGACAAAGAGAAATTTCGATTCGGTCGAAAAATTTCGCCTAGTGGAAAACCGCCTTTAAGGCGGTTTAAGCCTTAAGGCCGGATTCCACGAGGCGGAATTTTTCGACCGAAACGAAATTTCTCTTTGTCTTTTTACAATTAGTTCTGCTCGAGAGCTCTGAAACAAAGAGAAATTTCGATTCGGTCGAAAAATTTCGCCTCGTGGAATCCGGCCTTAAAGGTCTGATTCCACGAGGCGGAATTTTTCGACCGAAACGAAATTTCTCTTTGTCTTTTTACAATTAGTTCTGCTCGAGAGCTCTGAAACAAAGAGAAATTTCGATTCGGTCGAAAAATTTCGCCTAGTGGAAAACCGCCTTAAGGCCGGATTCCACGAGGCGGAATTTTTCGACCGAAACGAAATTTCTCTTTGTCTTTTTACAATTAGTTCTGCTCGAGAGCTCTGAAACAAAGAGAAATTTCGATTCGGTCGAAAAATTTCGCCTAGTGGAAAACCGCCTTAAGTCTAGAGCAATATGTCTATAAACAGTTTTAGAATCAATAAAATGGACATTCAATGTGTATTTGGCTTGTGTCCAAATGTGTCACGTTTAAGACCAGGCGCTAATCCTACGACCTATAAACAGTCGCTTTTGAGACATCTGTTTAAAAAATTTATACCGTGTCCATATCAGAACAATTCACTGGCATATTATAAGCATATTATAAATATCAGAGTCAGAACAGAAACGTACGCGTGAAATGAAACTACGCCCGAACCGGCGAACTCCGAGAAAATAAAAATATTTCAAAGCGTACAGTCATACGTTCTCGTTGCTTGATTTCCTGAATTTTCTGTTGCTGTAAGAATCTGCGTTTTAGCATGTTTGTATAATTTAAAAGCAAACAGAAACCAATTTAGCAAGTAGTTTGAGGTATATATGATTCTCGAAGATGAATTAGATGATTGTACAGAACGGCCACTCCTTGCAATCGAAGTGCGAAGTGCGGAAGTGGAAACATGTAATATGAGACTTTTCCATCCCCCCTTCGGCTATCAATTTTCTATGTGTGACGTCATCAGCCCCGACCAGGGTCTTTGCTTCCCAAGAGCAAAGAGCCTGGGAACGAGGTTGTGGATCCGACTGGTTCTCGGATTGGATCCAACTGGTTCTCGGATTGGAATTTTATACGGGCTACCTAAAATCCACAAAGACAATATGCAGTACTAATTTCTGGCCCCCAAAGGGCGTTGGTCCGCGTCTGTTCGACCGACCGTTCAATCCGCCCCGAGTACATGATCAACATAACGGTGTTCTACAGCTTCTAGCAAGTTTAATGCCTGCATGTTATGAGCTGCTACATACCCAATTACAAGTTCATATTTTATCATACAAACTATTTTCTCTAATTGTTTAACGCTAATCGAGGATAAACATTCCATGCAAACACTAAACCAGTAACAATATCTGATTTCATATACTAAACTGACCTGTTATATAATGAATTACTTTTTAGTCTGTCCTCAAAATTGTCCTCAAAATTGAAGCCAGGTAATAAAATGTTGGCTTTTGAATGCTAAAAATATTCAGTGTAGTGAGTATAAATAACGTGAAACTGTCCCCCGTTCGATTGCTCAAAGACTTCAAGATAAAATTCTGATCTTCATACATTAGCCCGGATCAAACGAAAATGAGAGTGCATGAGAGTTGGCAGACACGCGACATTGGTTAGCTGTTCTTAATGCTTTCCCAGCGCCATCATGTATTTTATTGAAGTTAAAACATTGTTGGAACACTCGTTAAACCTTTATTTCCTTAATCTAGAGCATGTCCCCTGTATGCATGGAACTCCATACTGGACAAAATTACTTGATAGTATTTAAAACTTCTCTGGCACGTAATCTTCACGTATAAAACATCATGTTTCGCGTGTGAACCGCCTACCCTACAAACTGTGCATATAATAACTCGAAATATATATCCCCGCAATATACCTGCAAGCGTCGTGTCCGTAAACATATAAACTCCGCTCGTAATATTCGAGCTAGGTAATGCTCAATAAATGACCGAACCCCGCCCGTATTCTAAATGAGCAAATGCATGTGGCCAGTAAGACTTCTAAATATATATATGGCCCTAAAATTTCTCAATACGGCAAGGCCCGTAAGACTTTTCGCCTGTTAGATTAAGTATTAACCCTTACGTTTACATAGTACATGTGTATGACTTGCAAAACATTACTCGATTGCAAAACATTACTGAACGCGGTACGTGTGATACAGATATTACGGGGGATATTTCGAAGTATTATGTACAGTTTGTAGAGTAGTTGAAGCATGAAGTCAAGTCATGGCCAGAAATTACGGACATGATTTATGCTACTTCTTCGTAATTAGCCTGCGTGGCAGGCCCCCAAATTTATGGGGGGCCTGATTTGCAGCGGGCAGGATTTTGGCTCCCCCCCCCCCCCCCATAAATTTGAGGGCCTGCCACTTCGTAATTTGCATATATCACGTTGAAATATTGGCTTCAACAGTAAACAGTGAATTATATGACGCAACGTTGTCGCGAAATCTGAGAATAAAGTAGGTCGTTTGCAACATACCTCAATCGCTGGTTGCACAACACAGTCTTACGAAGTATTTAGTGTGATGCTGGCCTGATTTCAGTCACTGCCTATTCTGCATTTTACCGCTGCACTACTGCCACTAGGAACAAGCGAGAATGCAGAATAAGCAATAACTTACACCAGGGAAATATTACACTAAGTATATCTTGTCAACAAACTATATTCTGCAACCAGCAATTGAGGCAAATTGCAAACGACTACGGGTTACGCATCGATGATATGCAAATTAGTAAGGAATTGGAATAATCGTGTCCGTGATTTCTGGCCATGTTCACGTAAATAATCTTTAATAAGTAATTTTGTCCAGTATGGCGTTCCATACTCCTTGTAATATGCATGACTGCATACCTCTCATGAACTCTCGTTCGACTGAAGTTTTAAACATTGGGACGCCAACCACCAATAAACCGCAACAATTTCTTAGAATGGAATATTTGCACATCCAACGACTCTAACGACTCTTGGTCCAATGTCATTAACATCGTTCCATCAATCAATTCGTTTTCAAATGTTTCCACGTAGGCACCCATGCCTAAATACCTCAACAGTCTCTTAACGTCTGCAACAGTTAGAGCAGATAGGTCTTGAGGGTATCTGGAAATTGCTTCATAGATAGCTTGCTTGTCCTGGGGTGGTGGGCTGGTTGGTAAAGGTGGAGGGATTCTAGTCTGTGTTGGTGGTGGTGGTGCTGGTAGGGGGATTCTCTGTATTGATGATTTCTGTAGAAATAGTATGATCATATAAGCATAAAGATGTCCGTGTAGTGAAGAGGTGAAATTATTTACTAAATTGTGAAATACTCTTTCTTGAATTATTGTATAATGCTGCCTCCATTTGTGTTTTCATTCGCGTTTGTATGTGTATGTGTGTGCGTGTGTTTTTTTGTTAGCGCGATAACTTACTGAGTAACAAACGTATTAGTACGAAAATTTGTGGAACTAATGGACATTGCCCATGGACAAACTGATGAAATTCTGGTTAAATTTGAATGAAAGTGGATGCGACATTAGCGAAAGTTTGTCTTGCTTTGCTGGGCTGATGCGTAATAATTAGCCCATTGTATAATTTATGCATGATAAATAATTTAATTCGCTGGTGGAGGTATACATTATCCGGGTGCCCTCTAGTTTTATTCAGAAATAATTAATATATATACCTCCTGCTAATCAAAATCGTTTAATTTTAGCGATCGTCGATATGAGACCTAATTCAAAGATTGTGGTTTAAATTACTATATTAGGATTCTTCGAAAAATGGTTTTCATTTTTTAATTTTTTTTCCCTAAATTAATTTCGACCAGAGTATAATCACTGCTGGCTTATAGAATATTTCAAGACTAAAGGCCGATTTATACTACACTACGTTTGCCTAAAACTGTCGCATGCAACCTACTTACAACTTGTCATGAGTTGTTTTGTGTAAATCAAGCATACAACTCATTTATGCCAACATAAGCGAGTTGTGTACTTGATTTACACAGTACAACTCAAGTTGTAAGCAGGTTGCGTGCGGCAGTTTTATACAAAAATTGTGTAGTATAAATCAGCCTTAACAGTTTCACAAAATATAAATATAATACCATGTATTAAAAGGTGGCCGGACAGTTTGCCGAAAGACAGTTTGCCGAAAGACATTTTGCCGAAAGACATTTTGCCGAACGGACATTTTGCCGACAGACGTTTTGCCGAACGGTCATTTTGCCGAATGGACATTTTGCCTTTCAAAATGTCTTTCGGCAAAGTATCTTTCGGCAAAATGTCCGGGTACCGTATTAAAGTATCTGCTCAATTTAGCAAAGAAGACTGACTAGCCTCCTCGTTTTGGTACTTTTCTCACATTTCAAAGGGCTATAATTCCACTTGCGTGGATTGTTGTTGTCAGTCTAAAACTCTTACACTTTGCCTTAAATAGTATATCTGCTGAAAAATTTTATTAGCCTGGTAATGCATAAAATATACAATAATGGATAGTTTTTAAATTTATCAATTGTGCCACTGCTTATGAGATTGATGTTTTGTTAAAACTGCTCTCAGAATGCAAGAAATAGTGTTTCTAAGCCTTAGCACATCAAAACGTTTCGCCCCCAGACCCCCCTAGATGTTTCTTTTGCGGCCTTCCGCGCTCGACTCGGTAAATATAAAATCCTATATACAGTAGTTAGGGCCAGTGAGCTCAATATATCTGGAGCAAGTACCTTCAGTCATTCAACGACCAATGAAAGTGAGGCCAAGATGGCGGAAATTGACGTCCAATGGCTATGAAAGTCGTAAACTGTGTTAATACCACTTCCCCTAGCTAATTCAGTTTTTCACAGACCGTATTGCTAAACAAGTTATCAGTTTAATCGATGTCAAAATACTGAAATTTTGGGACACTCCTTGCCAGCTTCGTGTTAACCGCGCAGACAAAAACAATAGAAAGGGACTGGGACTGACGTCCAATAGCTTTTCAATTTCCGCCATGTTGGCGAGTAGTTCCTCGGGAGAAAGGAGGGACCGCCGACAACAAATCAAGAAACGAAATACGCCCACTTCTCGCTCTTGTCAAGTTGGCTCCGCCTTTGCATAAACATTACTTTGTCATAACTAATGTCATATTTATTTATAAAATCAACATTTAGTCTGAAAATTATTTATAGCATAATTACTTCGTATCGGATTTGATTGACAGGCGTATCGATTTCGACCAATGGAAATTTTGCGTTGTGTGGGCAACGCGTATTTCGTTTCTTGATATGTTGTCGGCAGACCCTCTTTTCCTTTCGCATGCCCGGAAATCTAAACCCGCGGAAAGGAGGAACCGCTCGCAGTCACACTGGTAGGCTTACCTGTTCGCTTTTCGGTGGGTTCTTTAAAAGTTTTCCGTACGGCTTCTGGCTTACTGATTTGTATGCGCTATCCAACTCAGTATATTCAGAATAATCACTATCCTCGGACACTGAACTTTGAGAGATCGCTTCTTCATAGATGTCATCAATACTAGCATAAATTCCATCTGCTCGCTGAAATGGTTCTGCGTACTCCTCTTCGCTCGAGTCTTCACTTGTGGGGCTCTTGGGGCTGGTGGGGCTCTTAGGGCTGGTGGGGCTCTTAGGGCTGGTGGGGCTCGTGGGGTTCTTATTACTGCTTTGTCTGCTTACCCATCTCTTCAATATGTTGCCAGGGTTTTTCTGCGGTTTTGGGTCAGGTTTTCGTCCTGGTTTTGGTGGTCTTGGAGGTGGCTTAATAAATATTTAAATTAATAACAATAGCATGGTAATCAACTGTACAATTTTCCTCGATAACCAAACGCATACAAAGAGTTATTTAAGTCTACCCTTAGACCTAGTTCAAACGTCGCACTTTCCATATGCCGATTTAAAGGAAACATAATCAGCTGAAACAATAAGTTCAGCAACTTCCTGTACCACAGTGACGGACACTTGACGAAATATTGGGGGGGCCGGGGGGCGAAATTTTCAACATGTATGCCAAAGGGGTTTCGGTGTCCGTTTAAGGCTCTAAGTAAAGCCAGTTTTCCACTCCAATCATACCGAAACGTATTACTTTGTTTCCTGAGAGGTAGTGTGGAACTAATGAATTCGACACAAAAGAAAATGCTACGGTACGTTGAAGTGGATAACAGGCTTTATGCGAATCTTTCAGAACATGGGTCACTTGATGAAATGAATTTATGAGCCCAAGTTGCACCATTTGACAGACATTAGATACTTTTTCTATGATAATCAATAGACCTTATGCGTGATGACGTCACAAGGCATGATGCTGTACCTGCGAGGAATGCTGGTCTTAGTAGTCATCGCCCGGGAAAATTAAACAATTCAAAATTTCCGGGCGATGACTACTAAGACTAGCATTCCTCGCGGGCATCAAGCCTTGTGACGTCATTATGCATAAGGTCTATTAATCATGTCGATTAGCGTTGTTGTTTAATTACGTTATATGGGTGTGATTGCATGCTTGTGAATTGTGATATTTGGTACCAGACTTTTATAGGTCTTTCAAAATTATTGGGGAGGCGCCTGCCGTCCCCCCCCCCGTTTCTGCCACTGTTCAGACAACCCTTCCCCGTACAATGTTGCATAACACATTACGAGTCTAAAACACTACACACAATATTGTAGGGGGAAGGGGTGTTAGATATGCTTCTTATTGCCGTGGGTGTCAAATTCAGCAATGTTAATGTAAAATGTGCCAATATTTTTGACCAGGATTGTATGCTATAGTCACCTTATCTCCTGTACTTGGTTGTCGTCCCCTGGGCAGAAGTTTTGGTGGCTTTTCAGACGAGTGCGCTTTCACAGACGTCTGACGTTCAACACGTGCCAAATGTTCGCGAGCATGTTCCAGAATGTCCCGTGAAGCGTCCTCAACAGATAAATCCTTAGCCATATCCTCCATTGTCTTTTTGACCGCGTCCATATGTTCGTAGACGTCCAAGTCATCGAAAGCTTTGAGATTTGTGCGGTTCAATTGTTTGTCTAGGGTTTTGACAACTTTTTGGTAGGTTTCATCACCCTGTAAGAATCCCTCGGCCACTGTTATCCTGATGTCCAATGTCGTTGGAACATTTAGGCATACCTTAAAATCAAAAATGATAAAATGGTGTTGAATATATATATAACACAACACAACACAACACAACACAACACAACACAACACAACACAACACAACACAACACAACAAATTTAGTTTAGTACAATACAATACAATGCAGTGCAGTGCAGTGCAGTGCAGTGCAGTGCAGTGCAGTGCAATGCAATGCATTACAATAAAATACGATACGATACAATACAATAGAATAAGATTTGGTCTCCACCAATTAAATCTAATGGTTTTGTTTAAAGGAAGAACAGCTTAGCTTAGAACTGGTATATAGCTATCCAGTATAGATAATTTAGTTTTGGTTTTCTCCTGCTCCTGTAGTGATCCACGTTGAGGATTTGCCATGATTTTACTATTCTGTTGACAAATACCTCGAGTGACGAGTGTTGTAAAAAATATTTATTTGCATACATTTCTCCCAAGATCTTGTTATGGCTGACCAGAATTTTGCCATGATCTTTCAAGATCTTACCACGATCCAGTCAAGATTTCACCAAGATCTTGGTACGATTGTACCATGATCTTGCCAAGATCTTGCCATGATCCAGTCAATATTTCACCAAGGTCTTGATATGATTGTACTATTATCTTGCCATGATCCTGCCAAGATTTTACCAAGATCTTAGAATGAGTATGCTATGATGTTACAATCTTGCTATGATTCTGTCAATATTTTACCAATATCTTGCAATGATTATACCAATTGATATTGCTACAATCTTGCCAAGGTCTTGCCATGATCCTGTCAAAAATTTACCAAGATGATTGTACCAAGGTCTTGTTAGTTGTTACAATCTGTTACAATCATGCTATGACCCTGTCAAGATTTCACCAAGATCTTGGAATGATTGTACCAATATCTTGTTACAATCTGTTACAATCATGCTATGATTCTGACACAATTTCACCAAGATTTGGAAAGATTGTACATTATCTTGTTACAATCTGTTACAATCATGCTATGATCCTGTCAAGATTTCACCAAGATCTTGGAATGATTATACCATGATCTTGTTACAATCTTGTTATGATTCTGCCAAGATATCACCAAGATATTGGAATGAATATACCATAATATTGTTACAATCTTGCCATGATCCTGTCAAGATTTTACCAAGATCTTAGAATGATTATACTCTGATGTTGTTACAATCTTGCTATGATTCTGTCAATATTTCACCAATATCTTGCAATGATTATACTATTATCTTGCTACAGTCTTGCCAAGGTCTTGCCATGATCCTGTCAAGAATTCGCCAAGATCTTGATATGATCTTGTAGGTTAAGTTTAGGTTTCCTCCTGTATAGTAATACTGGACCAACAAGGGTTTGTCTTTGCTAGACCTCTAGGCAAAGCAGTTAGAGCTGATAGAGCTACCCAGTGTAAATAAATTAAGTCAGTTTAGTTTAGGTTTCTTTCTGTATAGTAACACTGGACCAATAATATTATCCTTACTGGATCTAAATAAAGTTAGTTCCTAAATAGAGCTAGTTTCTTTTGAATTACAAAATACTAAATACACCTACCTTCTCTTCAAGGTTGGAACACACAGTCGTAACAATTACTTCGCTATCTTGTATTTCTTCAATGGCTGTCAGCTGACCCAAATTTGACAAATATGTCGAAGACCTCGGTGCATTTCTATTTCCAGGTACTGAACGCATTTGAATTTCTGCTCTTTTATCCAAAAAGCGAACCTTAGCCGGGAGTCCGAATTTTTTCTGAACCTCAGCCAAGCTGTAGGTATTTGAGTCCAACAATGGCACAAATACGGCAGTGGAATCAATTAAAATCGACACATCTTGTGCAGTTGTGATGTTTTTACATCGTATCACCGAGCTTTTGCTATCGATTCTTTTGATCTGTAGTATATCGTTCATTTTTAAAGTCTCTAACGAATTATTATTCCAAGTTGAGCCAACTTCCATAACTCGAACGTATTTGATTTTCTGGTATGTTGTAGACAATTGATGAGCGGTCACTATCGTGTCCCTACAGTCCATAGGTATCACCTCAGCTTTAAGCGGGCAGCTTGTATGAACCACCACTGCATTACTATGAGGAACCTGGCATACTATTTTACTGGTCGTACGCAAGGTATGTAGAGTCAGAATTTGACCACCACTAAAAGTGGTCCGCTCATTGGTACCGCAATAACCTACTTCGACTAGTACCACTTGCGGTAACTGATACTGCTTGACAAACTCGGCTAAGCTAAAGTCTTGTTGACTCCAAACAAGCGACTGTGCCAGTCTGTACTCTTGAGATTCCGACATCTTGCAACAGCAGCCTTGTTAACTTTGAAAAACGATTTAATTTTCCAGAAACTTTATAGGTTTGTTCAGATTGATATTGAATTACATACGTACTTTTCTGCAAACACGAGTGTGCGTTGGTCCACAATCACAAAAGTATCCTTATTTGATTCAGCTAATCTTCTACCGTGTGCTAGGCACAAAGTATACTGCTTGAGTTTCTGCGACTACTTTGATAGCGATTCAAACCAGATACCTCTATATGGAACAGAACAAAACTTAGTTTAGTCAAGTCGTCCTCGGTAGTTATAATTACTTGGTCAACAATCATGGAAGTACATATAGGTTTACAGCTTCTCAATATCAGTTCCGATTGACATAGAGATCTCGGACTCGTTAATATCAATTCATATAAACCTGTATTCTAAATACTTTTTAGTCCAGATTTTCCCTACCGGTTACAGCTGTTCAATTATCAGCTCATTCACATATATAGATAATAGCACTTTGAATGCGGAAGTGTTGGTCGTGTGTTACCAAATGTGGTCTCAAATTTCGAAGTGGTAGTATGTTAATACACAGGTTAATACTACCGTGCAAGTATCATCCTAATTTATATATAGTACAAGCTTAGTTGAAATCCAACTGTCTGTCAAAAAAACACAATGTTGTACAACGCAAATACCAGGGCAAATACAATATATAATGCGTTCGATCTTTCTTTAAGTTGCTTTAAATTAAATATCGTTTTGAATGTCCGAGTGCCAAATTTGATTTCCTTAACTATATAGTATTGCTCAGCCCTATTATTTGCTCAGATTTCGTGGCTACAAACTCCGTTTAAATCAACTCAAACTAGATGCAAATACACATTATATGGTAATATTCCTGAGACAGATTCCCAATATAATTTGTCTTTGGTATATCGAATACACATGAATCAAATTTAATATCATAAATGCTCTACTTTAACACCACTATTTGCCCGGACATTCCTTCCGGCTTTGTTGCAGCCGTTTAAATCCACAATGTTGAATATTTCTTGAACCAGTTTAAAAGAATTTGTTCTTGGTAGTATACAATCAACAGACAGTCAAATTTGGTAAATTCTTTTCTATATATATATATATACATAATATACATACTTGCCCAGAGCTCGAGTTGCAGTGATTCCTTATGTTGAAGTTAAACCTGATTAGTACCATGGAAAGCCAGCTACATGGACCACTTCACGATTCAAATATTGTGCGGCGACAGACGGAAGCAATGACTATAGATTGAACATCCACTCAAAGGATGCACCGGTCTTCCTTATGTCATCTGTATTCCAGTTTCGTTTTCAGACAGTTAGATTTCTCGCTTCGAGTTCAAAAATATGTAGAGTACTCCACACTGGTATATAGACGAGATTACGGTTCAAACGTTGTGAGGCAACAATGCATGCAATACAATGCAATACAGGTTGAACTATTCACAATGTATCTAGGTCGTTCTTCTCAATCTGTTAAGCATCAATATATATTATATACTGATGCTTCAAAATCTTATGTGTACGTATCAAATTTCGGAGAGACGTGTATATCAGCTTTCGTCCGTATGTAAATATGATGAACACGCTTCGCTTCCTTATTCCTTTGCGTCTTTAGTATTTGATCATACGGCAACACTATTAATATTAAAAACACTCCAGAGTGCAACAACTGTATCCCTCACGTTTATAACGCATACGTTATGAAAGTTGCTTTTGTTAGTCTTGATGAGGTTCACTTTGTAAGCTCACCCAATTTCTAGAACGACACTCAGAATTATGCAATTGTGAAATTGGTTTAATATTACGTACCGACTCGTGTTTTTTAAATGGTATTTCCTCTATTTTGTTATATTCGAATAACACACGCTGGGTTCGCTTTCATTATGATGAAGTGTTTACATGCAATTATATCTTTTCGATGCAAATGAAGGAAAGTTTGGAAAAGTCAAACTTGGCACTGAAACAGAGCCTCTTTATTGAGCTAAGGGGCCATGGCTTCCCCGGAGACATGTTGAAATCTAGAGTCCCTGAAATGCGATTTCAAACATTTTTGGGGTGAGTTTTTGCAGAATTTCGAAGATATAAAGTACATCAAAAGACTTAATCATTTTATGATCTCACAAACGTACCTTTCTCTACAGATTTAGACTTTTTGAGACTGGCTTAGCACCCATCTGATTGGTCAATTACATATATCAAACGCATCTGATTGGTTAATGATAGTGGGAGCGGTAGTGGAAGTCTTTTAACCCTTTCTAATATTTTAGACAGAAGGGACTTTAACTGGGGGCCAACATTAGGGCTGGGGGATGGGGGTGGGGGCTTGGCCAGGGCAAATTCACATGCGGATACGATCAAACGCGCTTTAAATCAAGTATTACGCTAGTCTACCTAATCTTTTACAACAATTATGATGTTACTTTCTGTGGTGGTTATCCTAACCACCCTGTCAACTTTCTCTGTGGGAGATGATCGAGGAAACCAGAGCACCCTGAGAAAACCTACGAGCATATCCACACCGGGCAAGCTTGAAAAATATGCCTGGCCACGGTGGGAAGCATCCACCCTGGCCAGGCATATTTTTCAAGCTTGCCCGGTATGGATATGCACTCAGAGTAACATCACAAGCATCATATTCACCTGAGTACAATACACCAACACAGAAAAAATCAAAACCTACGAGCGTTGACTTATTCTATTTTACATGATTAGCAACGAGAGAATCGAGCCCATGATCTTGTAGGTGAGTTGATAATTGATATGTTTGTAAATATTGATCTGTTAACATTGAGAATATTCGAATGTACTGGGAATATAAATGTGAATTAAGTGCACTATGGAATTAAGCTTGGTGGCTGGTTCCTAGTCACGTCACTGGTAATTTTGTCGGCGATTTTGTGTTTCTGACGGATGCAAATGAGTGAACTCGCACACAAAAGTATAGAGTCGCTTTTCAGAAGTAAACAATTCTAAGTCTTTTGAACCGGGCTTTAACCTTCGTTCGTCATGGGTCAGAGCACTGCGCCAAAATCCCACGCCTGGCGTCGTCTATCTGGCGCGGCCTTTCACTTCGAATGTACTGGATCAAAACAACTGGATCAAGAAATCCAAAACAACTGGATCAAGAAATCCAAAACAACTGGATCAAGAAAGTGTGGCCCTTATTTTGACTTGCAACAAGTCGTCTTGCACTGTAACTTGTCTCACATTGTAACAAGTGGGCGAGCTTGAACTCTCGAGGGCACTTTTTTCAAGAAATTTGACTTAGCTGCCCAGCTAAACTACGAGGCGACTTTGCTCGCAGGGTAGACGGACGGACCAAGAAACAGTTTCCAATTTTTTAGCGTACATATTGTCTAGTTATATACTCCCTTAACTTGAAGGCTCAATCATTCTGTGACTTCGTTGTCTTATATAGTTCGTTTTACATTATTCATTAGCTTTTCTGTAATTGTTTATGTATTATTACTTAGTAGTAGGGGGTACTAGCCACCAATCATCCGTAATTCAGTGATAAAGTAATTAAAACAAAACAAAACAAAACAAAACAAAACAAAACAAAACAAAACAAAACAAAGCAAAGCCGAAAGCAAAGCAAAACAAAACAAAACAAAACAAAACAAAACAAAACTTGTAGGGGCTTCACTGGCTTCGGTGGCGCAATCGCCAGAACTCATGTATAAGAAGAGTCAGTGGAACGTCGTGGGTTTTCTTAGGGCACTAGCCTGACATGGTTGGATTAGGATAAACATATCTACCGACCATGCAACTCAATAATTTACCGATCAATTTACCGACAATCGCGTTTTTTTCTACATAATAGGGAGAATAAACAACACTGACGTCAGATTGCCGAGAATGAACTGGTTTAAAAACTGTGTTTTTCTTCAACATATCTAGAATCTGTCCTGACGATGACTAAAATATAATCGAAACGTAGATTCATTAAAGCGACAAAATGTTATTCGGAGTTACTGTATCTTTTGTATTTTATAAAAATACTCAGTAGGTTCCCGTAACTTCAACACATGTGACAAAAGATACGATCTTTAAAATTTTTTGCTTCCTTGACACGAGGCTACGAGCGCTATGATATATGCTGGGTTTGGTGGAAAGTTATCCACCATTCCAGTTCAACCAATTCGTCTTACTTCGTTATTTGAAGTTTGAACTCTTTATTAACGAAAGCTCTATACCACTTTTCATCTGAATAAAAACATACTGGCTGTAACTGTGTTGACAATATAAACCTCTTTCAAACACAAAATTTTACCGCCAAGGTTTTTTCGGCGATATTTGACTATTAGTTAATTTATACATAGCGTACCTATAAACAAGCCTTATTAAACGGCATTTATATGTAACTAAACAAGAATTATTATTACACATCTTATACGATCAATATTTACTATCCCTAATAGCTTTAGTTTCCTGTGGATAAGTACACGTGTTATAATCGAAGTACATGTTTGAATAACGCAATATGCACTTGTCTAGTGATGAAATTTCTCTTCAGTCACATGAGAAAAGAGTAAGTAGAGAACCTGGCTTGCGAGGTTGAGCCATTATTTACTCTGTACATAGCCTACTTACCACTATTATACTTTTTTCGTACAACTTCACGCATGGGAAAATCTTAGAGTATTTTATCACAACCGAAAACCGTTCAATAACTTACAAGCAAGACATGCATATACTACATAACTATAAGAAATATTTAAAACGTATATGAAGGAAAGTTCAAAGATTGCTAAAAAAAAGTTTCTCCTAAATGTAGAAATATACTACTATAGTTTTATCTTTCTGTTCAAGTTGTTCCAGTCTGTTATGGCCCGATAAGCGAGTCTTGGCTTTCTCCCAATTCCTTGACACTTTAGGTGGCCTTAAATTGTATATCCTTATATCGCGTATTGTAGTTGCGTATTTCTCTGTTCGCTAGAAGTTCATATCCATGTGAGGTATGATTATTTAGACAATCATCTAATTTATCCCACGGGCCCCCACCTAAGTTCAACCCGTGATTTTTTGTTGTTAGACGATATTTGTTAGCTTCAGCTTTGATCTGCATGACTGAATCTTCGATTTCCTGAACATTTAACCCTTGAGTTTGTATCATAACTACGTTTACACTTCTGAGTTTCAAACCCCGTCTGCCCACGTAATCCGCAGCAGGGGATATAATGTATTGTTACCCAAATTTCTATATATTCAATTACTAACTCGGTATTATCATGGCTACTGTAAGCGAAGGTCTGTGCATTGAGGATCTGGTTTGGAGTGATGTAGAATACAGCTTGGCAGGATTTGTGGAGAACTTTCAATTACCACAGATCGTGCGTGTCGAATCTGGTTATTTTGGCGGTAGTGACAGTACAAGTCTTACCTCAGGGCAGGTTGTTCAACTACATTGCGTTCGAAAGATTAAAAAGTTTGCATGTCAAGCTGCCGATGGTAAAAGTGTTGCTCTTCCATATGCTTATCCTATCAAATGTGTCGTAGAAAATCGTGAATTTTCAAAGATATCGGCTTTGCAAATGAGCATATTGTCCGACCAAGTTAAATTCATTCTAACGCTAGGTGACTATCATAATTCAAAATCACCTAATTCGAGTTCATTCCAAGAGGGCGCGATTCTAGAAATTACTGGTGTGGATGCCAAAGGAAAGAGTATTCAATGTAGAGATGTTTCAACAACGAAAAAGATAAAGTTCCATTTCGATTGCACGGCAATGTTTTGTCCCTTGCGCGATTGTAATCATTATACATTGGCTGAAGTGGTAGAAAAATTCGAGATACCGGTCAAAGTAAGGTTTCTACGACAATCATCCGAGGTGACTATAGATCCTAACTTGTCCAGTTTTGTTTCAAATTTAAAGGAAGTAAGTATTCTAGACGTGATTGAACAGACGGTCGTTGTTATGAATACTGTTGGCGAAAACTCGAAGGATGTTTGTTTAGAGATAACAAAAGATATACCAGTTTATGTCAGGGTTGCGCAGGAATTCTTGGAAAACGAGGTCATATATGTTCGAATGGTCAAACACCTAGATAGGCTGTTTAATAAATCGAGGTATGAAGATTATGAGAACGTCGCTAGTGTAACAACACGATACGAATGTGCGTCAGTTGATTACGATGTCAACAACGAAGACTCGGAATTTCGATGCAGGAAGTTTGCGTATCAACGACCTCCTGCAGCCTGTTTTCAACAGCTGGAGTCAAGTCCGATTTCAAAAGCAAACACGACTTCAATACGCAGCCTGGAAAACGCACAACCGACACAACATCGGCGCGAAAGCTCGGATGAGGAACCTGCCTATTTGGAAACTAAAGATTTATGGCCTATGATAAAACCTCGAAAATCAGACAGCGAGATTAGCTATAACCGCAATGACACCCAAAAAGGCGACAAGACGGCTCTACCGGCTCACGACGAGGAACTTATCTATGTGGAAGTGACTGATCCAAAGCCTGTAAAAACACTTCGAAAATCGAAGAGTGAAATTAACTACAACTACAGCAACGCCCATAAAGACTGCATTCCCAACAGAACTGGCGTCAATAAGTCTCCACCGGTTCCTGTTAAACCTGTAAAAACACTTCGAAAATCGAAGAGCGAAATTAACTACAACTACAGCAACGCCCATGAAGACTGCATTCCCAACAGAACTGGCGTCAATAAGTCTCCACCGGTTCCTGTTAAACCTGTAAAAACGCTTCGAAAATCGAAGAGCGACGTCACTTGCAACCGTACTGGCAATAAAGGACTGATTCCTAGCCAAATAGAGGATGGGAAAGCTTTACCAGATACTTGCAACCCTAAGCCACTTTTCGTAAGCAAAGAGGACCTTTTAAATGAAATTGAAAAGAGAAAAATGCGGCGAAAAGAAAACAAAAATGATCAAGGTGCGGAAGCCGATACGCCACGAACAACGAGGAACATCACTCCGGACTTTCCTAACAAACAAGTTGCAAAGTTACCCGAGAAAAAACTACCTAGTAAAGTTTTAAGCACGCCAAAAACTGATAAGTTGAACCAATTAGCATCACTTCAAGCAAAAACGTTGAATAATGACCAGCAAAACTCGGCCGATGAAATATATTATGAACCGACAACAGTACGAAATTCCGATTCTGTTCTAAGGATGTCGCCCGACTATTTTCTAAGTTCGTCGCCAGCGAAAACCTGTGCATTGCCAAAAAACTTATCCGGGTTAAGCGTTAAAGATGTCACGAAGATACTGTGCGTGTTAGATTTGGAGAGATATGCCGGTATTTTTGAAGAAGAATTAATTGATGGTGCTATGTTGGAAAGTATGGATGAGGAGATTTTAAAATCGATCGGAATGAATCCATTTCATGTTAAACGAATGATCAGATTTATTAATGGATGGAGACCTAATATACGTTGAACCAGTGGTGACTGACACTGGACTGGGGGGGGGGGCATTATTAGAAAATTTTGTCACTCGTGATGTTTGGGTTTTTTGTATTATTTTTGCTGCTCTTTTTAAACAAATCTGCTGCTCACAAGATAAACTATATAGGAAACAGGTCAATCAAAACATGACACTACTCTCACATACACAACGGCAGCTAGCCTAACAAACTATCATAGACGAACGGAAGAAATAATTAATGTTTTGCGAAGAAGCAAAATATATTTACTTTACTTCGATGTATGTCAAGATATCCATTACATTATTTCCTCTCACACTCAATATGCTTAGAATAATATTTTCTTGGTTTTAACATTTCATCTGCGTTCAAGCAAGCATCTTCTATTTTTTAAATTTAACCTAAAATTTTGTTTTTATGAATAATAAGTGAGAGTGTTCCGAAGCAGAGCTATAAAACAAAAATATAGCTTTGTTTACGAAGTTCGAAAAAGTCCGACTCGAAAATTGCTTTACTCAGGCTCATCCACCCGCATTTAAGGAAGGGATATATGGCCTGATACTCGGGCTACAAAATTGCCGAATTTGCACACCGTCCCGTTATTTCAGTTGCTGACGCCATCAGCGTGCAATAATACTTTTTGAAGTTCAAAACGAAGTTCGGTCCAAAAAAGTATTGTACGCTGTGGTTACCAAGCTCCGGCGCGGTTCATTGTTTGCTAAAAAGCGCGGGAAAATTCCATATTTTTAAAGCGTAAACTAAATGGCTTTGCTTTCTTTCTAGCCGTTTCGAATATATAATATTTGGTTTTCGTATGATACCGAGAACTATCAAGGCCTCGTATGATATCGATATCATACTCAACCTCATTCAATAATTGTGTTTTGGTTTCCTATAATTATTTAATGACGATAAGTACTTGTAATGTTTGTAATTGTCACCTCTGACAGATCGTCGGTTCGATTCTTGCTGCAGATACATGACACTTGTGTGAAAAGAGTCCGCCAACGTTCTATCGAAAGTCGTGGATTTTCTCCAAGTACTTCGGTGTCCTCCCACAGGGAATGTTTATTGCCCATGGTCCAATAAAACTTCTAATAAATGATCAATATTTCACCATGATCTTGGCCTTTGTCAGTTTGGTTCCTGTAATTATTTCATAACGATAGTCCTTGTACTGTTTGTCAGTTTTGGAACATAAAAGCTTTGCATGACAAGTCAGATCACTTTCATATTTTTTTATATGCTAACTCGAACACTTGGACGAGTTTAATTACTCAAGTTATAGTTATCCACTAAACCCAGCATATTCCGATTCAACCAAGTGAAGTACAAACAAGAAAATATTTCTTTAAAAAAGAAATAATGTTTCGTTCCAATATAATTATAGAAATACCAGACGTCTGTAATTAGCGGTTGTGACCATAGATCACTTGTATATGAGTCGAGCAATGAAATTGGTTCATAAATAGAAATACAGTAGTAGTATTTAAAATGAAGAAAAACAAAGAAAACTATATAATAAATATATACCGCTGTTGGCGCTTGAATACTTCAAATATAAATCATCGTGCCTGTAGATTTAACCTGAAGTTCAGGCCCTAAGATTTTGGTTGGTTGCAAGTTCACATAAACAACAGTTTTAAAAATAGCTCGGTCAAGGGCTCAAGGGGACAATAATAATATAAAGGTCAAACGAACAAATCGATTTCTTCGATTTTCTTTTCTTTTAATATGCTTTATGGCAGAAAAGTATTTTGAAAGGTCTTTATCAAAATCTTTGACGAATTTTGGACACACGACGCTGAAAGAACAGCCAAACTAGTCATGTATTCGAAAACTTGTTGTTGACAGCCAAGATGTTCTGCCAACTGGCTTCGCCAGCAAAAGTCTTATTTTTAATATCAGGTCCTACCGGCGTTGTTTTCTGAGGTACGTCGCCTTCTTCGTGGTACGATTGAGAATTTTATTGTTGCTGTTGTTAGAATGTTAGCCCGTTAGAGTAGAATGCAAAATGCAAAAGTTTTAGCAAAATGCACACTCTGCGGACATGTTAGTGAGAATATAATTTTTTTGTGTAGCGAAATCTACAACACTTGTCAGTCATATTGCATGCTGTGTCTAAAAATAACATGTGGGCGTCCATTAACTAAGATTTCCGATTATACGCCACGCCTCCAAAAAACTTCTTATGCTAGGAGCGGTCATCTCATTGGACGTTTCTAAATGTGATTGACGTTTCAGCAAGAATACTGGCAAAGGATTGGATAACTTTGATCTCTGACGTCACTTTCCTGTGAAATTGCTCGAAACCAAATACAGTACCGTTTCGTTCCTGCGGGGAACGAAACAAAAAATATCCAAGAAAATTAGTTATATATACCAATTTTCGGGTGACGTCCGTTTTGAAACGAAACGTCGCTTGCTTAAGCTCTATATATCATCGACGAAGTGGGGGTGTTGCTTATTAAACATTTATGTAACTAAACAAGCATTATTACACATCTTATACGATCAATCTGATTTAACTTTGCCAAGGCCTACCCTAATAGATTTCGTTTCCTGTGGATAAGTACACGTGTTATAAGGTATCACCGGTTCGAAACCGAAGTACATGTTTGATTCATTTGATAACGCGACAATAATTATACATGCAGTTGTCTATATAGCCTTATAGTAATTATACATGCAGTTGTCTTAATCAATCTGGTCTACATTTAAACATACATATCCGTTCACAACTTAGTAAAGTTCTTGCTTCTGCTTATCCACATATTTCCATTTTATACATGCATAGCGTACCTAAACTGACCTTATTAATAAACATTTATACATGTAACTATAAACAAGCATATACGATCAATATTTAACCTTGCCAAGGCCAACCCTAATAGCTTTTGTTTCCTGTGGATAAGTATACACGTGTTATAAGGTATAACCGGTTCGAAACCGAAGTACATGTTTCGCAACAATAACATGCAGTGTCTAGTGATAAAATTTCTCCTCAGTCATATGAGAAAAGAGTATGTACTTCCAGTTTGACCGCTCTGCCAAGCACCACAGGTTTTCTCCTGTAGTAACACTGGATTAAGGTTACAGAACACCTTTGAGTGTTAATTTTGCCTAAAATTTTTTATTGGTTTCCATCAAAGCATTAGACTAGTTCTACTATCTGACCAAGTTTGGACGAAAAATGTTGAAAACTCCCAGAGTTATTTAATAAAATACATTTCGCTTGCAATAAGAAAAACATTGAAAATATAATATTCAAATTCATTTTTTTCACGTAGAATTTTACGGCAACTACTGATTTTCAAACGAGTTGTCCTCCTGCGGGTTTTAACGAATTTTTCTCAAATTTTTAACGATTTTCAGCGATTTTTCGCAAAACGCCAAAAAGGGTGTCCTGTAACCTTAACCCTTACTGGACGACCCTTACTAGCTGTCTTTATGCCTTGCTGTTTATGAATACTGACCCTGAGCTTGGCCCTGACAAAACAGGGGAAACCGTTGGTCCTTGTCCATCTGCCTTCGTCGAAAATGGTTCAGAACGAAATGCTCTATTACTATGACACACTAATATATAGAACAACTGATCTTAGTAACACACTAAAGGCCCTGTCACACTATTGCCTATGAGAGAAACGTATGAGAAGCGTATGAAAATTACTGATGAAATAATTTTCATACGCACAAAAATCCTTTGAAATGCCAGCGTATGAGTACCATACATCTGGCGTATCTCTAGCGTATTCAGCGTATGCCTAGAGTATGCTTATCGTATAAAGCATATACGTCCGATACGCACAAAATTTTTAAGCAGGCTTAAAAAACATTTTCTGCCTCGCCGTATGCCACCGTACGCGATCGTGCCTGAAACGTATACAACCTATGCCTAACCTACCCCTAGCGTATGTCAGCGTATACCGGCGTACGAGTGATATTTTTCGAAACAGACATAAATATTGAGAAAATCTTTGTTTTATACGTGTATAGCACAACGGTGCAAACTCGTGTTCAGTGCAACGAAAACTCTACCAGATCTTACGAGAATCTATCTGTATCAAAGCTTGTCAAAACTGCTATATAAACACTGCAATAACTGTGAAACTATTGAAATCTAAAGTTACATTATTGAATACATGCGAAAAGCTGAAAATGACTCATGAAACAACGTGACCTTCGAAATATATCAAAGGTCAATGAGACTTGTTATTGTGAACGCGTCATAATTAGATTAAAATGCGGAAGGCGGATGCGGATTCACGGAACGGATATGGGGATAAAATGCGGATGAAATGCGTCATTTTAATGAGTTTTTCGCCTCTTATTTACGTTTCTGTGTTTTAGATTTATGTTCCTTTTTTGTAATGGAATACAACGTCGTAGTGCTTATTATTTATACCATATCTTATACAGCTATTTTCTCAAGTTGTCACTGAGACAAAAGCCAAAGTGTACAATATGGGCGCTAAAAGGATGGTGGGAATAATCACAGATTTAAACAAGTCACCTAGGTTGCCGGCGACCCTATATAGTGTCGTTTTCAATTGGAAACTTTACAACATTATAACAGAAATTATGCCTTGTGACTAATATTATATGAGGAAATAAATAATATTACATAACTCTCGACATTCTTTAATCTTAAAGTATTAGATTTAAACCAGATCTTAGCATTTTTACTGTTGTAACAGTCACGCGCGCTACTACTGTACGTCATATCGACATGTGATTAAAGCTATAAACCACGCTTGAAAAACTATTCAATTAATAAGTATGTCAATATAGCGTTCGTCTTTGAAACTCTGCACTATCCTTGGATCCCTAGTTGTGTTTTCTCAAAACTTGGGGGCCTTGGCACCCCGGTTCCTACGCCCCTGCTTCTACATGATTACATGAAGTATATGCTGATCAATGTCACGTCCACAGAACAAACTATTTATATCTTTATTAGTGATGGGGGAGCTTCTGTAATTGTGGGGGACAGGGGCGTGGACATCCCGAACGTGTGGGAAGGAGTGGACATTGGGCGCTTTCCATTAACACGGTCAGAACGGTCAAATTGTTGAATGGAACACAAAACATTTGAACACAGGTCCATTTTCGCTAGATATTTGAGAAACATAGACCAGATATTTCCATTGATAGAGAGAAAAACAATTTGGGTCTGACCGGTCAGGCCATTAAATGGAAAACGCCCATGGTCTCCAGGAAAATGTTTCAATTATTAGGGTCTCCGAAACTCTATTTCATGCATTTTAGACACGTTTTATGATAATCTGAAAGCCACAGGCTTTGTATATTTTGTATCATCAAAACGAAGTTCGGTCCCAAAAAAGTATTGTACGCTGTGGTTACCAAACTCCGGCGCGGTCCATTGTTTGCTAAAAAGCGCGCGAAAATTCTATATTTTTAAAGCGTAAACAAAATGACTTTGCTTTCTTTCTAGCCGTTTCGAATATATAGTGTTTGGTTTTCGTATGATACCGAGAATTATCAAGGCCTCGTATGATATCGATATCATACTCAACCTCATTCAATAATTGTTTAATAACGAGTGATTTGCACGCCCCCTAGACACCTTAACCCTTGTTTTGGTTTCCTCTAATTATTTAATGACGATAAGTACTTGTAATGTTTGTAATTGTCACATCTGACAGATCATCGGTTCGATTCTTGCTGAAAAGAGTCCGCCAACGTTCTATCGAAAGTCGTGGGTTTTCTCCAAGTACTTCGGTTTCCTCCCACAGGGAATGTTTATTGCCCATGGTCCAATAAAACTTCTAATAAATGATCAATATTTCACCATAGTCCTTGTACTGTTTGTCAGTTTTTGGACATAAAAGCTTGCATGACAAGTCAGATCACTTTCATATTTTTTTTATATACTAACTTGAACACTTGGAGTCACCGTGGCTGACGAATTTAATTACTCAAGTTATAGTTATCCACTAAACCCAGCATATTCCGATTCAATCAAGTGAAGTACAGAAAAACAAGAAAATTAGTTACATATACCAATTTTCGGGTGACGTCCGTTTTGAAACAAAACGTCGCTTGCTTAAGCTCACTATTCTCCGTTATATCATCGACGAAGTGGGGGTGTTGCACCTCCCC